CGTCCTGTGCAATATTGATTTCTGATATAATACTATATATTCGATTGTACAGAATACTTTATTCTGAAACAATTTGATACTTTATATCTGTCTAATTGATTAAAGAGGTTTAAATTACATATAAATTAATCATAGAACATTTTAACAGCAAAATAAAATTCTCAAAAATGCAGCTCATATTGCTTTAAACGAACGATTATAGGAAGCCCAGAGGCCCAGTAATAGTTTCTACGGTTTTTACCATATATAACGGGTATTTCTGCGATTGTCCAATTTTTGCGGAATTTTGTGGATAAAAAAATCCGCAAAAATTACAATCGCGAAATATTTCTTCAATATTAATTAAGATATTTTATACATGCAAGTCTTATATGTGGTGTGTATATCAGTCAATCTGATTTAATTTTATTTCATAACTTCTTTCTCTATATCTTTATAAAAAGATTTATGCTTATGTTTGATGCATGAATAAAAATTCATTTGAAAATAATTTACTAAGACTAACTAAAAGATAGTATAGCCTAGCATCAGTTCTCATGCACTTTTGATCAACATGGTCTTAAAATGAATTAAGAAAAAGTAAGCATGACAGTGTTCTGCTAAATCCTTAAATTTTAGTGTTCATCTCCCATAAATAATGTTTTGCGGTATAATGCAACCGCAGAAATTAATTTGCTACTTTTCAGGGGGCAAATGTCAAAAACTTCCAACAGCAGAAAATACCCCTTATATTCTGACAAGATAATACATTGATGTAAAGCATCAAGTCGGCCGAAAACTTGCTATGTGTAGATCATGATTCCTTGCATATACAACAAGTGATGATGCTGAGAATTTCTGAAGATGCTGCTGCATGATGTGATTACGGACACGAAAACAAATTTTAAAAAAAACTTTTTGTTAAGTTACAAATTAATAATCAGATTAAAATGAGAAGAAAAATATGAAACGTATAAATACCAATAATTAAGACATGATATAAAACATACTGGAATTGTTCATGACTTTTAAGCATGTTATCAATAATGGAATTATTTCATCAAAACATTCAAAAACTCTAGATGCTGTCATAAGACAGTGATGCCCGCACTGAGGTGTTTGCCACTGAATTAATTCTCCTTTATATTTAGATAACCCGGAAAGAAGCCACAAAACTTCTATAATTTGCACAAAATATATGATTTGTGTCAATTCTAGCATATAATGCTCAGGTGAAGATGTAGCTAATAGTCCTCTTATACGTATGTATTTCATATATTAAATCCATTACCAGTCTGTTAACAAGAGAATTCATGATAGATTGTTATAAAAATAACATAAAAAGGGGGTGGGGGTATTTTTGGACTATATTTAGAACTTGTTATTGTAAAAACAACATTATTATTTTAGTGCATAGCGTTTTTTAAACTTTAAAAAAAATTCATATGCCAAAATAACAATTTTCGAAAATGAATGAATTGTTAGGTCCCTGCCCACACCAATCTTACATCATTCATGACCCTAGGGTCAACCCACCCTCCTAGAATAAGAAATCGAAATAAAACGGAGACCCGCCATTAATCTTTATGTATATTTTTGTATAATTATATATGTATGTCAATTTGTTTTATTGTCAAATCAACGTATTGATTTGTGTACATAAACAACCCGTGGGGCTGATAAAGAAGAAAAGAGGAAGGAGACATTTCTGTATGGTCTGAAAAGTTAAATCTCCTAAAATTTGTGAATATACACCCCTATTCTGACTTTTCATCATTACTTACAATTCTCAGAACGTACAGTGCATGTTTATTAGATCGTAGACTTTTGGGTCATTTTCCTAGCTCTCTCTTGAATCAGGAATGGCGATAAAGATATTTCAAAAATGGATAAAAGATTAACAGTTCTAGCATAATCTTTTGAAATTGATTAAGCTGTTCTGATAACAATGCAAGAAAAATTGCATTAATTATTTTAAATATTGTGTCTCCTTCCAAGCATTTGCAATCATAAGTTTTTAAAGTTTTGCATGGGGTTATATACCTGTAATAATCTCTATCAATCTATTTTCTCTCTTTCTGACATCTATTTGGGCCAAAAATTAAAATGGAATCATAAGACAGGTTTTGTTAATTGATTTACTTTTTAGGATTTTACAATGTGTAATTCATACTGCAGCTAGAATGATATCCATTCCAGAAATGTTAAAAATAAGTTTACTCACGATCTTGTCTTTGATCTACTTCTAATTTCAAATCACAGCTCGCTCCGTGATTGGAAGTTCGTGTGTTCGAATCACGGCCGCGACTGACCTAAGTCGATAAAAAATAGGTAGCAACTGTTTCTTCGCCAAGCGCTTTGAAGTGAAAGTTGTGGGTCCTTCGGGCGAGACCTTAAAAAACGAGGCCCCGTGTCACGGCAGGCGTTGGCACGATAAAGAACCCTCGCTGCTCAATGGCCCTGAGAGCCGATAAAAGATCTAAATTTGAAGCCCTTCACCGGTATATGGAGACGTCTCTATATGAGTGACAAATTCTCGAACGGGACGTAAAACGACAATCAATCAATCAAATGGACACCACCAGTCTTTTCTCATGATTTGTTATAAATTTCACATAAAACTCCTATTGGTTAAGAACATGTAAGTTCCTGACTTATGTTTGAAAACTATCCTCTGTGCAATCGTGAACACTCACCTGACTTGTTGCAGACTGGTAAACATACCCCTCAGGGTATAATTATCATACATGGACCTGTATAAAATTGAACTAGTCAGGATTGAATCTTCATTATCTTAGTTAAAATAATAAGAAACACACTTGAGGAGTGATGAAAATTGTAGAAACAAAAAGTGCTCTATTTTACATTTCTCATGTAAAACAATGTGTAAAAGTGTGTTGTATAAATGAAGGGTCACATCCTCTTTCAAGAGGAGATGAGAATGTGTGAAAATTTAAAAAGTAAATGAATCAATATGATCATTTTGTAACGAAATATTTGCATTTAATATTATCCTATCATTTTTATGGTATCATCTTCAAATAGCATATTAATCTCAAAATAAGGTAAATAAATCGAAATGGTGCTAATTTGATAAATAGGCATAATGTTTATTTTACCTTTTGGTGGTGGTGGTGGGGTATACCATAGACGTTCTATGCTAGGTTCTTGCTTTTCATGTACTGGTCTGGATTACTGTAGATTCCTAAATGTACGCGAGGAATTAATTATCGCGTAATTACGCGAGAAGCAACACTCGCGGAATTAAATTACTCGCTTTTATTTTTATGGCATTGTAATCCACGTAAAACCTCTAGATCAACAGTCCACTCGCGATTTATTGTTCTTGCGATTTGACGTCTAAGGGCCATTTTGCGATATTAAATACTCGCGTAAAATAAGGAATCTACAGTAATAGATAAAAGATGAAAAAACGAAGTCATGTCCAACATTTGGATTACAACATATAAGTTCTTTCTTGGATGATGAGAACTTTAGTTCAGAATTTTTTAGAAGACATTATGCACATTTATGTATAAAATCAAACCTTGTTATTGCCCAAAACTTATTATTAAAAACTGCTTTTTAGGATTAAAACTCTAAAGTCCTTTCTTGTATGATATGAGGTTTTGCTAAAAAATTGATAAGATGTATGCACATTTAGGTATAAATTCAGGCCTTGTTGTTGCCCAAAGTAGGTTATTCAATAAAAATTTAATAAAACTACTTTTTTTCGAATTACAACACACAAGACAAGTCCGTTCTTAAATGATGATAGTTTTGCTTTAGAAATCTTATGACAAATATTTTAAAAATTCAAACCTCGCTCTTGCCCAAAATATGGTTTTTTTTGGATTACATCTCACAAGCCTTTCTTTGATGGTAAGAGTTGTTTTTAAAAATACCTCTAGATATAAATAAGGCTTTGAAAGAATTTAAGAATAATATCTTTGGCATTATGTATTTTTGCATCTTATTATTATTGACAAATAAGTTGATGAAACAAGAATATCAGTTGTCTCGTTTAAAGTCATCATTTCGTAAGTTCTATGGTCGATACAATGACCTTGTCAGCAAATACAATTTATCATTGAGTCAAATGCTGACTGACGTTTTTCATACTAATTGTTAGGCCATTATTTACACACTGAATTGTCGACGGATTTTTCCGTTATTTCCCGATCATGACAAGGAGCACACGGCGGGTGTGACCGGTCGGCAGGGGATGCTCACTCCTCCATGGCACCTGATCCCACCTCTGATGTTTGGAGGTCCGTGTTTGCTCTGCTCCTATTTTGTATTGCATAATGGACTTTTGAGCTTGAATACTGTTCGTTATCTCCATATATTTCATTTCATATTACAATGATTTTATAACAAATAATACGCCAAAGTTGCCACTACCGTATAGGAATAAGTACATCTTTAATCAGCGATAACATCGTTGACATTAAATGCCCTTATTGGCAATTTAAGCACTTGGTTAACTTTGACAACGCTCCTAGAGATAACTTACATTATGACCTTCAGAATTATATTCTACGGGTAAGTACATCTTCTTTATAGAGGGAGATCGATATACTGTATATTGCATGTATATATATCTAGCGTTTATGATATTTGACGGAAATTGATTTCTTAACAAGTAAGCGCAGATTTGATATGGCGCATTTTTGAATGTATATATTAATGGACATCCTCACAACGTCAGGGTTCTTGTGTCAACTCGTTTTCATAGTACCCCTGACAAATACCGTTCGATATCTTACGGGCTGACTGCAGCCATCTTTTGGGAAATTTACAAATCTTGATTGCTTTTCTTATCTCTCAACCAATCGCATTAAACTTTTCGGTGATAAAATGTATACCACGTGCTTTTGTGCATTTTAGGTGTCAGCTGATTCCTTTCTGTTTACATTATCTGTCTTCAATTTCAATTAGATTAATTGGTGTTTCTATAATTTATACTTTCAGGCAAGAAAACACACGACCGCTCCTCTACATAGGACAGTTCAGTCTGTTTACATTTCTGAAGGATTCTCTGGAAACATAAGTGATATATTCAGCTGCAGAATTATATTACCTCCATCATTACCTACTGCAAGATAAACAGATGTGGTTTAATAATTGTACTAGTATTGTTGGCCAGAAAGTTGTTTCAAATGTCGATTATGCCTTTCTTTCGAATACAGATGGTCCTCGAGTAAAGGTTATTCCATATACAGAAATTGCAATGAAAGTGTTCTTTTATCTTATTGTATTCCTAATAGACATAGTAGGAAATTCGGTCGTTATATTTACCATTTATGTAAACAAACGCATGCGCACTTCCGCCAACATTCTCATTGCAAATCTGGCTGTATCCGATGTTTTGGTTGGATGTTTCTGTATGTGGGTTCACCTTGGGAACCAAATCAGTCACAATTGGCCGTTTGGATCTTTTCTTTGTAAATTTGAAACATTTGTACAAGGTACATGTAAAATAAAATGTTCTTTTTAATCAAGTTAGATTTCTGTCGAGCAGATACAATGCTTGCTTTAGTTCATTAATTTGATTAATCAATGGAGGACTTATGACATTTTACGCTTGCTTTACAGTAATTGCTGTAGTTTCCAGCGTAGTTACCCTCACGTCTTTGTCCATCGAGAGATTCTTTGCAGTCATGTTTCCCCTGAAGGGCACACTTTCCAAAAATATGTTAGCCTTTCTTGTTGCATTCTCCTGGATTGCGGCAATAGGAACCAGTGCTCCGAACATAAAAGTCAGGCAGAAACTGGAAATTCAATGGCGGAATCGCAGAGATATTTGGTGTGACGAGATTTGGCCTAGATTTTATACCGATACAAAATGTACCTCTGATCAACCAGGGCGCCGAGCTTATTATGTTTTCTTGTCTGTCTTCATGTACTTCATTCCTGTTGTTATAATGCTGGTGGCGTATGGAGTGATTGGAATCAAGCTTTGTCACCGACGAATACCAGGATATGAAGTGGATACTAATAACGAGGCACATTGTAATGCTAAGAGAAAGGTTCATACATTTTTAATAGCTTGTGAAAGCTTGACTTTTCACCAACTGGGCACAGTCCATAAGAATTTAGATTTGAAAATTGTTTAAATTTCAAAAGTGCAACCAATATTGTTTTTTTAATCTCAGTAAAGTTAAGACATTTTACAAACCTTATTGATTAATACGATAAATTTATTTATTCTATTATACGTTAATAATTTGAGTAAAATGTTATTTTGAACGTCAATCGTATCAAAAAGTCCCTAGTATGTGTTTGTTACATAATGCTTAAGAATTAGTTTTATCAAAGAGAAGGTCGAAATCTCATACAATTTTAATAATGATGATGTTCATTATATTAACGAAAAGTCTATTGCTCATAAAACTTCCCCTTGTTTCAGGTTCTTAGAATGTTCTTTATAGTGATGACAGCTTTTATTGTTTGCTGGACTCCGCAGCAGGGTCTAATTTTATACATGGTCTACAGAAACGAAGGACTAAAGGTACATAACGTATCGTTTACAAGTTACTGTTAATACAGTTAATGATATAGTATAGGGGGTTGTGCAGTGTAATACGTTAATTTCTTTTCTTTTTTTTTAAATTCAAGATCATCACGTAAACATCGGTAAAAAGATGTATTTTGCTGATATGTTAAGTTTCATTCCATGTGATGAAATGTAAATCATGTTCCTTATTCTAAAAATCAATGTTTCGTCATAACGAAGCCCACTTTACAATAGTAATATGTAAATCATATACGGTACCAATTTTGATGCATCAGATGCGCATTTCGACAAATTATGTCTCTTCAGTGATGCTCACGCCGAAAGGTTGGAAATCCGAAATATTTAAATAAAAAAGACTTTGAAGAGCTGAAAAAAGTGCTAAAGACTGGAGCCAAATACGTCGAAGGATCAGAGCTATGCATGAGGGAGATAATCCTTAATTTGAAATAAATTTCTAAATTTTACCACAGCAATTAAATATATATCCGTATTTTTAAACTAGTACCGAAGTACTTAGCCACTGGGCTGTAGAGACCCTCGGGGACTAACAGTCCACCAGCAGAGGCCTCGACCCAGGGGTCATAATGTAAATCATATACCAATATTGAAGCACCAGGTTCGCATTTGGACAAATTATGTTCATGTTGACTTTCATATACGTTATTCCCCGTCAATTTTTGTGAATGAATTTTGGACAAATACCTAGTAAAGATCAATATCGTTCACAATAAAATATATCAGGAAAAGGAAGACCCCTATGAACTTTTTAAAATTATATTTTATTTTACCTTTACTTGAATTATTCACCGAATGTATACCTCCATTAAAAATACACCTTTCCCTTTAAGTTTTTTCTATAAAATACTACTTTTTTTCAAAGTATTATCTCTTAATATTTTATCGCGTTTTTCTAAACACATTACAGGTCAACTTTCAATTACAAGTCTTAATTCTCCATCAGATTTTTCGTCCCTGTATAAAAGTGGGTTTCTTTTTGCTCCTTTTTAGGAAGATTTTTGTATACGTTCTAAAATGAAAATGAGAATTCCCAAAAATGGAAATTATCAAATATTCTCAAAATGTGACTAAAAATCAATATTTCCAGAGTAAAAGGGATACATTTTTACTTTCAATTTCCGTTCACGTCAAACATTCCCATAGAACCTCCACTCTAGGTATTGGCATTTACAATTTATATAAAATAACTTTTGAAAGTAAAACACATTTAAATGTAAAGACCAATTAGGAGAAAAAACAATGTGGATCAAATTAAGTGTTAGAAAAAAGAGCATATAGATACACACTACTAAAAAACTCTAGTTTTTACAATGTATTTTACCCCTTGTTTTAAAATTGTAAATCTTAAGTTGGGCTATATATTAAAGGCGGAATGAAATGGCAATATAAAACATATATTTCTTGAAGGTACCTTCGTTTCTGAAGGACTTACAATACGCGGCACTGTTTATCGCCTACAGTAACAGTGCCATAAACCCAATTATCTACGCCGGAATGAGTGAAAAGTTCAGAAAGGGTTTCCAGGACGCACTTCATATTTGGTGTAGAAGAAACAGAGTCCAACCAGGTAAAATTTGACTTGTTTTATTTATTATTAAACCAAATCACCACCTTAATATTTTTAATACTGTTAATAGTAAAAAGTATTTTTGTAATACATTGTTTCAATGAACATTTGAGCTTCATTACTGTCCGTTATCTCCATATTTCATTACATAAATGTATTTTCTTTAATATTTTTTCAGTTACGAATGACAAAAAACAGTCTACAGTTGTTGAAATGTCCACGAAAGAGGGAAAACAGTATTCCAACAAGAAAGATACTTTATATTGTAAAGAAAATGTAACATAAAGATAGATTACACAACATGAGCGAGTCAATAAACAGTTTTTCTCTAACTTGAAATCTTCAATTTCGCAATTGTCTAAAGCATCAGGCCAGCAGTTTGTCTTTTGACAACAAATTAAGAAATAAGATCTGGAGAACCGTCATTACAAAGCACAACATTATGATCGAACATTTTTCTGTCTATATACACAACTGAATTTCTTTAAATTATCCGTTCCTACATGTAATAACTTCAACCTAATATTTTGTAGTTCTTGAGTTTTGATATAAAAAGCATGATATCGAATGCTCTTTAAGATTTATCTAGCATGATTGAGAAACAAATAAAAATTTAACGATAAAGGAATAATACGCTTCATGAACTATGCATAAGTAGAAAGTCTGTATGATTAACAAACTCAAAATACTCACAAAATAAAAAAAAAATGGAATTATTAAAAAAGCAACACAATTCTTAATTTTGATAAATCGGAGATGTATGTTTTAATGCCTGGAGCAAACCATTTAATATGAATACGAAGGAGGAAGTTTAAAATCGTGCTTGCAAGCCTATTCTCGACCATCCTTTGTAAATGTTTTTAATGTTTATCACATGTTTTTCATGTAGGCAATACACATTCAATCCCGTTTAATTTGCCATACTATATCAAAATGTCGTCCTTGTAATATTTATAGAATTGATGATGTTTTATTGGAGAAACAGTGTGTAGAGAATTCCTTTTTTTTATGATCGCTACGATTAGTCTTCTATGTTGTGTTAATGATAATTAATGGACATTTAAATGTGGTTACATTATTGGTTATCCGAAGTTATTACTGCGTCACACAGTAATATATAGACTGATTTAAGAAGGAAAATGGCCTGGAAATACCTCTAATAGACAGCTGGAGGTCCATAAGGCTCAAGGATCCTTTAGTATATTTTCTTCACTAGTTATAAGACATTGATATTAATAAATATTTTACTTTCATGTAAATTAGTTGAATCTGATTCGTCGAGAAACATTTGTTAAAAACACTATTACCCGCTGAATAATGAAGCCACGCCCTCCAGCATAGCAACAGTCGACATTGCTTGACGAGGGGTGATATTCAAAAAAAAATATTGACTGTGCAGAATTTATGCGCGCAAGGTTCACCATAATATGTATTTGTATAAAACATTCAGTATAATATAATAAATACTGCATGTAGTTGAGTGTAACATTGAAAATTTTCACAGCCTCGGTTGACAATTGGGTTTCTTGGGGTGAAAATTTTCAATGTTACACTCAACTACATGCAGTATTTATATAATATTATTATATAGTTTATTTATGGATCCCGTATAATGTATACAAAAGCAAACGGTTCATAACACTACATATTTACTGAAATTTGTAATCTGGACATTTCTTTCATCTTTCCTCGGCAGAAGTTCGTGAATGAAAATGGTATTGCCACATATAGCTTCAATGTCGAACTTATTTATAATGTCTTATTTATCTATAATATTTATAATATATATTTTGCCTCGTTCAATATTGATATTTTTTGACGGATAACAAACCATATTCACCACCAAAAGAGTCCATAATTGTTTTATTATATTATGGTCAGAATCTGAATAAATGAGACATTGAAGGGTGAATGACAATACCATTTTCATAAACGAACTTCTGTCGTTGGAAAATTAAAAAAAAAATGTCCAGATTGAAAATTAAAACTTGCCTTGGCTGTGTGTCAAACATCGAAATGTTTGGAAAATAATCCTGCAATAGACTCGCTTAACATTTTTCCTGCTCAGATACAAAACTTGCTGCGGTCGTTGAAACCATTGCTTTCAACGTTGTTTAGGATATTTATTGTGACCTCTCAATGCTGCTGCAAGCCACTGACCCTCCGGGTGAATACGATTCACTTCAACTCCAATGAATATGTTTGCGTTTGTACAGATTATATACTAGGTTATATATATATATATATATATATATATATATATATATATATATATATATATATATATATATATATATATATATATATATATATATATATATATATATATATATAGACCCCTACCTCCCCTAGTAAAAGTACTTTAGTAAACTATAGTCACTATATATCACCATAGTTTACTATAATATCAAAGTTTTCACTATAGTGAATCAAAGTTTTTACTAAAGTCAATCAAAGTATATGAATTAATTAAAGTAAGAAGCAAAATAGGGTGGCCAATAATACGATTACTAATGAAATACCTTATAGCAAATGACACACAGCTCGGATTAAGGTACATAAAACTACTAGTATTTTAAAGAAAAGATAAATTTAACAAACAGTAATCGATCTCATTAATCTTTAAGTAATGCAAATTGCAAATTGGGTTTTCAATAAAAAAAAAACCCTCGCAAAATAAGGTTGACTTGGGTGCATAGATGCATATGTATAGAAATCCCCCCCCCCCCGGGTCGACCAGTTACATCCGCTGTGAGCCGGATGAATTGATCATGTAAAACCGGGTTATCTGTAGTGTACTGTTTCATGAAAGCAATGGTATTAAACGTGTCAATTAAATGTGACTATTTGATAGATTGTGTTTGAAAACAGAGTCATTATTATAACTATAGCTATTTGATAAAAAGAATCCAGTATCTCGATTTCTCGATGTATGTCAATATGAAAAAAATAAATCTTGAGCACTCTAAATCCCTGCACAAAGTACAAACCTATATGAATGAAAGGGAAAAAAGTTAAACAAAAAAGCAAATATAATTAGGAAATTTAGAGGATAATGAATTAAAAGAAGGAATGTTTTTTCATGGAAATTGTGTTCGATCGATATATGTTATCAAAATGTGCAACCCAATATATTTAATATTTTTCATATTCACTGCAAAAAAAAAAAAAAAAAAAAAAAAAAAAAAAAAAAAGCAAAATTAAGAAAAATGTAGAAAGTGATTTGTTGAGATACAAAGTGCTAGGGAGTGGTTTGTAGGTGGCATACGACGGACCCATATTCAGATTTTCTTCAATAAGGTTTGTACTTCTTCGTCGATCGTAGAGGAAATTTCATATATAATCCCCAACGTCAAGTTACATGAAAACTTACTCCGGATCCGAATTATAATTATGTCCGTTGACTCGATATATCCCAGTGATCTTGAAATAAAAGATACCATAAAGTCTGGCTCATCTGTTTCATAGTTGGATATCTGACTAGAAAAAGACGTTAATGGTAAACTAACAACAAAAACTTTATGAAAACGTAAATACTTCAACTTTTCTGTCGTCCCCTTACATTAGTAGTAATATACCCTTATCACCTGCCTGTGGGGTTTATATCTTCCAGTTGACTCCAGTTGATTCGATACGCAAGAGCATTCTCCACGTCCGAACACTTTCTAAAACGAGGCAAGCTATTGACAAACAAGTTAATGTAACAAGAATATCAACAGTCTCGTTTAAAGTCATCATTTCGCAAATTCTATGGTCGATAAATACCTTGTCAGCAAATACAATCTATCTTTAGGTCGAATGTTGACTGACGTTTTTCATACTTATTGTTAGTAACACTTTGAATTGTCTACGGATTTCTCGGTTTTCCCGATCATGACAAGGAGCATCGGTAGGGGATGCTCACTCCTCTTTGGCAGCTGATCCCACCTCTAATGTTTTTAGAGGTCAAATTTTGTTCTGCTCCTGGTTTGTATTTTGTTATAGAGTTTTGAGTTTGATAACTGTTCGTTATACCCATAGTTCGTTTCATTAAAAAGTTGCACTGATTTTTTTTTTTTTACTATCCCTTGCTACGAAATTGGAGGGGATATAGTAAAGTGCTTGTGATTGTATGGTTGAGTGGGTAACGGAAGTAATTAATTACATCGGGCTCGAGGCTCTCTTAAGCGAGGACATTCTCCGCTTTGCGGTGCCTTTGCTTGTACATATAGTGCTATGCGAATGTGAAAATAATTATACTGTATGTGCGTTTAGTTATTTCTTGAGGGAAAAAAGCCAAGTCTCGTCGTTAAAATGGACATGTTATGAACAACGTCTTCTTGATGATGAAACTAAATCTTTCAACAAACTGTTGGACCTCCGATGGTCACAAACTGTGCTACTTTATTAGCCGACCTGTTTATTCGTATGAAAGAGAATTTACTAAAATCTTCTGTATAAAAAGCAGAAACTCTTTACCTTCAATTCAATATATTTAGATATATCGTCGACTTTTTTGTCATTGAGAAATAATTCGAAATGGAGTAGAAAAATGGAGTCGACAAGGGTAATGGTTCTCGATTAGTTCCGTAATACATAATTATCATAAAGATACATCAAGACTAACAACACTGAAATAACCAATTTGATCACGAAAATCTTATCTTTTGGTCGTTCTGTCGACAGTTCATTGTCATATTTTATCTCCTATTAGGGAATCTGTGTCAAAGTACGGGGCGGTAAGGCAACATCTCTATCTGATATTTATATTAATCATTTTAACATGAGATTTTAATTCCATGAAATATTAAGTTGAACTGATTTAATTCGATTAAATATTATATAGTTAGTTCAGATAAAGATACGTTAACTGCTTTTTGTTGCAGGGTTGACATAACTTGCTCTACAAGACGCTAGTATCTTATGAAGATTGATTTCATATTTGCAGAAGATTGATTTCATATTCGCAGAATATCATGAACAAATATCTGTTGTAGAGTTTAAAAAGTAATTGCATTCCATTTTTTTTAAATATACCTCTTACAATATATCTTTTTTTTTTCATAGGATTCAGTTTCGTTTGTCATGACGATGTCCCTGATTGCAGTGGTGTTTCTCTTTTTTGCGCATGTGTCGGCGGAACCTATGCGATTTGATGGGTTTGTGTTCAATATTTTACTAATTAAACTGAGAACATGCTTTTATAATTTCTAGTTATACATGTAACTCTGATTTGGGGAATATAATCTGTAGTCAGATTGTTCCTGAAAATTGAAAAAGAAAAAAAAAAAACTCGCGCCATTTGTTTTCGTTTTGGATTTTTCTCCCTACAGGAGATAAACAAATTAGCAACAGTCGATCAAGACTCCCACTTACAATTTTCATTTAAATATATTGAAAGATACGGTTTGCTCTTCATAATGGATCGTGTTCTGTAGATAAAAATGGTGTTTATGTAGACCAGAATTCATTTTTAATGAATATGGATACATTATATATTTTGAACATTTATAATGAACAACATTTTAGCACTTTCTGATGAAAGCTTTAAATTTACTTGAGTAAAAAGTCAAAGTAAAGTTGTTTGATTGAAGTTTTTCGGTATTAATTCCGGCTGACTTTCTTTTTTTCTGTCTGATATCCGTTGTACGGTAACCCGTAATGTACGAATTGGACCTAAATGGGTTCACAGATTTTAAAGTATAAATTGTCCTCTAGAATAGCGAGGCTACAGTATGAGAATGTGACATCAAAATTAATTCCATGTTTTGTTAATCAAATGCGTTTAAAGCACGGATTATGAAAGGAGTTGTTTTCGTCAATATTTTTCATTATCATTTTACATAATTAATTACTAGTATTTGGAAGAAAAATATACTATGGTTATTATTTTTTCGCCCCAAGGACTTCATTGTATACAATAAATGTTTTTTGCACTATAGATACATATATAGTTTTACGTCCTGTTTAAGCCTTGTTCTCGATAATTGATATTATATAGATTAAGTTATCCTTCATGTCAGTTTTATCAAAAAAAAAGTATTATAGCAAAATCAGAATTTTCAAAAATGTGAAATTATCATTTTCTGGGACTTAAGAATTTTTTCCTTATTTCCCGATCATGACAAGAAGCACACGGCGGGTGTGACCGGTCGACAGTGGGTGCTCACTCCTCCATGGCACCTCATCCCACCTCTGATGGTTTTGGAGGTCCGTGTTTGCTCTGTTCCCGATCTGTATTATTTTAATGGACTTTGAGCTTGGCTACTGTTCGTTATCTCCATATTTTATGGGAAGGAAATAAAACATACCTTTTTCAGACACAAGGTTTTGCAAATCCTCCCTCATTCTGTAGAAGAATTGGAACACGTTCTTCAACTACATGATGTTTTGGATGTAAGTACATGTATATGTCATGTTTCTGGAATGTCTAAGCAAATTATTTTTAAGACTTGTATCTAAAATTCATAAACATCTCTAGCACTTTATTGAGTAATAAAAATCTATCCAACTTTTTTATGTTTATAAAACGGGAGGATAAGTAAGTTGATAATCTTAAAACTGTTCTAATATTTGGGTTTCCTAATCATTTTTCCAATCTCCTTAAGTCTTTGTAGAAATAAAGATGCCAAAATGAATCGTCTATATACTTCAAGTCACACTTCATCTCCTAAGGACAGATTGAACAAATATAAATATGCATGTCTGGATTGGTTTATAATTTTGGACCTTTTTGGTTCTAAATAATGCAAATATTAAATTTCTAAAATATTAAGAAATTGTAAACGTTCTATGATGTTCAAAACTCTACCTTTATGCAACCATCCATTTTAATTTATACAACTTTTTGTCATTTTAATCCCATTATTGTAAAACTTTGAATAAAAAATGAAATTTCTACGCCCTTGTTAAAATTATTCATTTTACTTATATAAACAAGATTCAAGATGTTATTTCAAGATTTATGATAACATTTTGTTTGCATCAACTGTCCTTGTATATTGTACATGTACGTCAACGCAGTTGGATATGTGGAGATACCCAAGTAAAAACAATTTCTCGATGGAAATGTATGTCGAGCCCGAGAAAATTGATCATGTGTTGACTGCTATTAAAGCCATAGGGGCAGACGTCAGAATCTGGATTGACGATCTACAAAAGTTAGTAAACTTTAATTTTTCTTGGTGCTCTTAAAATTTGGGAGCAGATCAGGAATAAAACATCTGAAATCTTTCTGGAATCTTTATAAAGTTAACTGAAGCAGATTGGTAGATTTCTGAAGTAAGTGCACAGAGTTCAACTTAAGATATTGAGCTTGGCATTGAACTTAATATTAATGGTTTGCAAAAGTAAATTTGTGTTAATTTAGGTGCGTAATGAACTTTTATTAATACATTCTGGAAGAAAACAAACTAAATATCATTATCAGCTATTTTGTGCCCACCTTTTTATCAATTTCAAAATCATGAATAATTTTACTTTGAAGGTTAATAGATGAAGAAAAACAACCAGCTAAAAGAAGTTTCCATCTTCCATTCGCCTCGCAAGGGAAGAATGCGGGGTTTGATCATTTAGCCTATCACCGATTTTCTACGGTAAACTCTTAGCAGTTGCATGTACAAAATCTCAAAATGAAGCAAATGATAACAAAAAAGATAGATAAGGTATGAGGACACGAATATATGATTTTGTATTATCGCTTTGTAATTTTAAAAAAATGTAATTTTATTTTGTTATTTCTAAATGAAATAAGGAGATAATGAAACATTATTCAAGCTCAAAGTCCATTAAAACAATACAATTCGGGAGCAGAGCAATTAAACACGGACCTCCAAAAACATCGTGGGATTAGGTGCCATGGAGGAGTGGGCATCCCTTATTTTCAAAATGTCTTTAAAAGTATAAAAAAAAAAGTGATGCTGTTAATGTATCAGCAATTCAGTTATTTTCAATCGGATTATATAGGAAATACCATCCTATGGAATCTTGCACAAAATGCCTGGTAAGGTACCTCATTTTTTGTGAGGAATCTTGATAAAGTAGCAATACTCAATCACAAGGAGAGGAACTAGTAAGTTGTAAGAATTTGTTTCCAATCCTTTTGATTTATTCAATAAGATATGTTCAAAACAACTTAGTCACAAATTCAAAAAATTAAACATAATTGAGGAACATGTCGTCTGACCTTAGGTAGAATATATCAATGATAAAATGCATAATATCCTTGCTACTACTTTTAATATGTATAAAAATGGATAAACATATTTAAAACTGTATATGCAAATTCCATCAGACGTTTTATAGGCGTTCAATAACAAGCATAAAACACTTTGTGTTGTAGATCAAACAGTATCTGGCGGACGTTGTGACAGCCACCCAGGCTATGAGCACGGTGACTTCTTCACTGAGCACAATAGGATATAGCTCTGAATCAAACGAAATTCAAGTTTTAAAGGTGAGTTTAAAGGACTAACATATATAACGAAATTAAAACAAAACACTCATAATATGTCATAAGAGAAAAAAGTCTTTTAAAGTACAAATGTAGCACTTTGAGATGTATCTTTATCGTCATGACACGCCTTTGTGAATTTCTTTTTCACGAACTCTCAACAGAAATTGCTCTCTAAGTGTCGGGTAGAAGTCAAACCTTTTGTATTGTCCTGTAAATAAATGTCTAAGTCACAGTAACGAATTTGAGTATATACATATATTTTTATAATTATAAAATTTTACCATTCTCACTACTGCGTTCTTCATTTTCACTGTGTCCAAGTTGAAAAATATAAATCAAAGCATATATACTCTAAAAAATTTCTTACATCATTATTGAAAATGTGTCAAAGTCTTACTCTCGAACATAAGAAATATCTTTTTCTTAAATGATTTTGAGTATATAAAGCCTTTCACTTAATAAAACTTGCTGTCTAAAATAATATGTCATGACGATATGTTTTATATAAATGAATACTCAAGGAAAGTATTCATAGGATTGGTCAGGAAAAAAAAATCCTTAAAAATATAAAATACGAATCTTGACCTATTTGCACTCAAAGATAAGAAAAAGGACATATAAATTATGTCTTTAAAATTCAGTGCAAGAGTACAAGCCATTTTTTAAAAAAAAAAAATGCTTAAATATTATTGCTGTATCTTCTATTCTGTATAGTCGCCCGCGTGGCGCAGTGGTTAGAGCGTCTGCTCTAGAGTCGCGGAGTAAGGAGTTGATCCTTACGTCGAGGGTTCGAATCCCACTGCGTGACGTGGAGACCAGTCCTTCGGATGAGACCGTATAAACCGAGGTCCCATGTCGCAGTAGGTGCTGGCACGAAAAAGATCCCTCACTGCTCAATGGCCTTAAGTGCCGAGTATAGGTCAAAATTTGTAGCCCTCCACCGGCAAGTGGTGGCGTCTCCATATGAGTGAAAAATTCTCGAGAGGGACGTTAAACAACAAATAATCAATCAGTCAATCTATTCTGTATATTTAACACAACGTCATGGGGTACTGTTTCATTTTTTTCAAGATATTAAGGTTATAAATAAATCTCTAGTGAAAATATTGAATTTATTTTTCAAGAGTTTTATGAGTGTAAACCTTGTGTATTCTAATAAGACATCAAATGGCGTAATTTCAAATTATATAATTTTAGATTTTAAAAGTCTCTATACCGTTTGGCTGATGTCTGAAAAAAATAGTTTTGCACAAGGAGTTACTAAATTTAGGAGATGTTTAAAGGCACACTAAGATTAAAATAAGCAATTTCCTATGCATTTCTTGTTTGAAAGCCAAAAAAAAAAAAAAAAAAAAAAAAAAAAAAAAAAAAAAGACTTCCAAGAAAACTCCTTATTGAATAAAAATGCATTTGTCTTTCCTTCTTTTAATAACTTTATGTTAGGGGGTATATAAACAAGATTTTATAAATATAAAGATAAAAATTTTAAGCACTTACTATATATAGTATTTTGAAAGATGTTAATCCTGTCACTGCTTAGAAGCGTACATCCTTACCTACTCTTACATCTGGGAGACACTGTTTCATGACCATAAGAAGGAAACAATTATTCGGATGAGGAAAAGCACATGTTTTCTTGAGAATTACGTCTTTTTATGGTTCATTGTTATCTATTTTCAGGTTTCCCGAAGTGATGGACAGTCCCGCCCGTCAATTTTCATTGATGGAGGAATCCATGCCCGCGAATGGATATCACCTGCGACAGTTTTGTATTTCATTAATCAGGTATGTGTTATATATATGTAAATATAAAAGTTATGGTGTACATTGATAAAACAACGATGAATTTCTGGATGGGTACAGGTCCAAATATACAGCCCTCCACCGGTAAGTGGTGGCCTCTCAATATAATTGAAAAATTCTCGAAGGGACGTTAAACAAAAATAAAACAAACAAACAAATACAACTAATGTACAGACTTGTATTGCTTATCTTATTAGTCCCCTACCGGTGAAACCGGAGGGGACTACAGGTTTCCTCTGCGTCTGTCCGTCCGTCTGTCTGTCTGTCAGTCTGTCCCACTTGGTTTTCCGCAATTTTTTCTAAACGCTTGCAGATATTGAGCTGATTTTATGTGTATCTTGATGAGTTACAGATCAAGTTTGCATTTCGTTCCGTTTCGTTTGTTTTGACGGAATTAGGACCTTTTCAATTTTAAGGGTATTCCGCAATTTTCTTCTAAACGCTTGCAGATATTGAGCTGATTTTGGTATGTGACTTTACCTTGATAAGTTATAGATCAAGATTGCATTTCGTTTCGCTTCATTGATTTTTGACGGAATTATGGCATTTTCAATTTTTAACGGGAAGCAGATTACACTTGCCGGTAGGGGAGTAGTATTGCTAATGCAATACTCTCAGAATGCTTGTCTTAGTTTGGCTATGCTCCACAGTAACTGGATAAACTTGTAGTGACTAAAAATATTTTTTATAGTGTATGGGGACTAGTTTGACTTTGCTCTAAAATTATTGGATAAATTTGACGGAGGTTCCCAGTAGTGACTCTGTTTTATTTTAGTTGGTGTATGGGGACGAGTTTGACTATGCTCCACAGTTACTGGACAAATTTGACTGGTACTTCGCGCCTGTTCTAAATCCCGATGGTTATGAATACTCACATACCACTGTAAGTGTTTTTTTTTAAATCTTGCATTTATATATATATATATATATATATATATATATATATATATATATATATATATATATATATATATATATATATATATATATATATATATATATATCTGTGTGTGTGTGTGAGGGTGTGTGTGTAAATTGAAAGTTATCTAAGTTATCTAACTGTACCATATTTTTTATGATATATACACACAGTACAGGCTTTGGAGGAAAAATAGAGTCCCCAATGGAAGGAATTGCTTTGGAACAGATCTTAACCGAAATTTTGGATACCAGTGGAATCCCAGTAAGTCTATTAAAGAAAATAATTACACATTTTGTTACGTTAACGAAGCCATCAAATCATCGATTTTAGATTTCCTTGAGACTGTAACGATCCATGACTTCTTGAACAAATTAATCATCGATTTTAAATCCGCTCCAGGATTCTTGTAAGTCGATAAACATTTACAAAAGTTTATTTAATCCACAGTGATCACAAGATGATAAATATCAATAAGAAATTGCGTTAGTGTGGACCAATATACTCTTAATACAAATTTTAGATTAGTTTAAAATATTCTCAAAGTTTAAAACAGGGATTGAATCGTTAGTGATAGAGATAAGAGAAATCGCGATTTTACAGCATGCAACGTATTTTGTACTCAGAGTGTATTTATGGTACCCAATTAGGAAGTATTATATTGATTGTCCTAATATTCTATTTAAATGGACTCCTGTACATAGCAATACCAATTTACCGGTAAAAAATAACATGACAATACCCTCCAATCAAGGTATATCTCTGATCATTACATTTATGGGCTCAATCCCCGCCTCATCAAAATTAATCGGAGTTGTCGCCCGTGTAGCGAAATGGTTAGAGTGCTTGCTGTAGAGTCGCGGAGTAAGGAATTGATCCATACTTCGCGAATTGGAATACACTGTGTGACGCGGAGACCAGTCTTTTGGACGAGGACATATAAACCGCGTGGTTCCATGTCACAGTAGGTGCTGGTACGAAAAGGTTCCTCGCTGCTCAAAGGCTGTAACTGCCGAGTACAGGTCTTAATTTGCAGCCCTCAACCGGCAAGGAGTGGCTTCTCGATATGAGAGAAAAATTCTCGAAAGGGCGATAAAAAACAAACAAACAATCGGAGCACTTGTCCTGAGCCTTTTACTTCCATGTCTCGCTCGCGTGGCGCAGTAGTTAGAGCGTTTGCCCTAGAGTCGCAGAGTAAAGAGTTGATCCTTATGTCGCGGGTTTGAATCCCACTGCAGAAGTTGAGACCAGTCCTTCGGATGAGATTTTGTTGCAATAGATGCTGATACGAAAAGGGCCCTCACTGCACAAAGGCCAAAACTGCAGAATACAAGTCTAAATTTGCACCGCGGCAAGTGGTGACATCTCAAAATGAGTGAAAAGTTCTCAAAAGGAACCTTAACAAACAAACAAAAAACAAACAAACAACCTTTGAAGTTTCCAGTTTAATTGCTCATAATTCAGAAATTTAATCGAAACTTTGAAGTGGCTTTCAAATTTAATTGCATAGTACCAATGATGTTTTTGTTTGTTTGTATGTTGTTTAACGTCCCTCTCGAGAATTTTTCACTCATACGGAGACGCCACCACTTGCCGGTGGAGAGCTGCAAATTTTGTCCTATACTCGGCACTTACGGCCATTGAGCAGTGAGGGATCTTTTTCGTGCCAGCACCTACTGCGACACGGGACCTCGGTTTTATACGGTCTCATCCGAAGGACCGGTCTCCACGTCCCACAGTGGGAATCGAACCCGCGACGTAAGGATCTGATAATCCTATTCTGATCTATTCCATTACAAACGCAGAACAGTTAAGGTGCCAAATGGAAATATCGGCGAATTTTTTAGATAGAAAATACATTCTTTACAAGGATGGGCGTTTCGTTTTAGGACTTTACTATTATCGGACAAATGCAATGTGGTTGAAAACTACATGTTGAAGACGATTAGGTTTCTTATTTAAACTTGTCACGTAATGTGGCAGTCACGTGATTTTAGCAAATATACCTGAAGTATTGAGGTCATCTATAAATTCTAATATTGCAAGGGCATAACCAAGTTAAAAATCTAAGTTTTACATATAATTATTTTCAACACTCTTTGTAGTTTGTGAAAAGTGCTGCAAACCTATAGAGATTCTACTATCTAATTGCTAAAATTACATTTGTTAGACCGTATGTTGAATATTTTGCTGGTCAAGTACATTAAATATAGATATAATTATTTCATTTGCAAGATTTCAACAGGTTCGCAGCACTTTTCAAATATCTTCATACTTCTTGAGTTTATGTGTAAAAGCTTGTCATAATTCATTGAGGGTATGCCCTTGCAATATATGGATTTATTACGACCCTTCTATTACCCTTCAATGAATCTGCATACAAATATACGACAGTATCGCTTGTCTAGGGAATGTTCGGGAAGTATATGAATAAAATCATAAAATATACATCGCATCCAAGTTAATGGCCTCTTATATATCTAAAATGTATATTTTATTTAATTACAAAATACATTTTTCATTGTATAAATATAATTTGATCCGCCTCTCACTGCATACAAACTGCGTCAAATTTTACGATATGACGTCACATTGACAAGTGCATTGCGATCAGTGAATTGTTTATATATTGCTGTGTTGGATTTAACCAACGACAATAATGCATGCACTAATTAGTATTGATGTAGTTTAATTAAAGCTATTCAACAGTTTAAAATAGCAAATCATTTCATTTTGTGGTAATTTGAAGAACTTATATTTTTGTGTGATGTCATAGTAAGCATTTCCCGTATAAATTAGGCCCCGCCTCCTTACTGCAGCCTTAACTGTGCTGCGAAACAATTTAACTATTAAAGTTCATTTCAGCTATAATCAAATGTGTTCTAACAAAATGATTATAGTTCATATAATTAATATCCATATTTTGTTTATCTAGTTGTTTTATTTCTAACACATATTTTCATCAATAATCCACTATCACTTATAATATCCCTAGCAATGAAAAAAGTATAATATTATCCTTCCTCAATACTTAACACATACATCGAAGGTAAAGGTGTCCTTATAAAAATGTCCATTCTAAACTCCGTAGGCATACATTCGGATTTTTTTTTTTTAAATTTAATTTAATGGTGTGTGAACGCACAATACTGCTATTAGCTGCACTGAGCAAGAAAAGTTCTTTTTGAAAACAGTACATGAAATCAAAATTCATATATTTGAAACATAATAAAATAACTGCAATCACAAAAGATGTCTGTTCCTACTTTACTGTCAAGCCAATCATAAAATCAAACTGACATTGTGTTGTGGTATTATTAAGGTGTTGGCGGGAGTACGAATGTGTGTTCTGATGTCTACTCCGGGGCCACCGCCTTCTCTGAGAAAGAGAGCACAGCTTTGGAGACGTTTTTGTTAAACAACAATCAGAACATGGTGGCTTACCTGACCTACCACTCCTACGGACAGATGTGGCTGTACCCCTGGGGATACACGAGTGCTCTCCCCTCCGACTGGCAAGACTTAGTATGGACTTTAGTGAAGAACTTATACAGTATTCTGTTGAGTCCTAAATATAGACGCAAAGAATTGATCATCTCGTAATTTTGCGAGAAGCACCAAAGACGAAAAAAATTTACTGGCGTTTATTTATTTATTGCAGAAGAACTTGTTAAAGGTCTAGAACAACAGTACATTCGCGAATTCATATTTTTGCGATTTGACGTTTTTGGAATCATTTTGCGATAAAAATTACTCAAGTTTAATAAGGAATCTACAGAATTTCTACACTATTGTACTTTTGATTTTTATCTTTTTTTCTTATTGAATATTTATACATTCTTTAGTAGGTATACCTTCTTTAGAATTCATATGGTTCATGTAATATCAAAAGAATACTGTATTTGTGTTACGTTAATTATTGCATTTGTACATTGTGTACGTATAGGACGCAGCTGCTAAGATAGGAACTTCCGCTCTGTCCGAACTTTACGGTACGCAATATACGGTGGGCTCTTCAACAAATGTCTTATGTAAGTGTTTACAAATGTATTATTATCTTTAAAAAGATTAAGTCTAGAAATATTTTTTCCATAACCATCGATAAAATAATGTTTTTACTACTACATATTTTACTTACCTGTATGAGATTTTCTGTGTTGAAAACATGCGTTAAAATTAGATATCGTTATTTTAGAATAGTGTATGTGTATAAAAAACTAACTTAAAAATGATAAATGTATAAACTTTTTTTTTTTAATTTTCATTTTTTACTTTTAACAGACTCTGCTGCCGGAGGGTCAGATGATTGGGCTAAAGGTGGCGCTGGCGTCAAGTATTCCTACACCATTGAACTCAGAGATACCGGTGCACATGGTTTTGTGCTTCCACAAAATCAAATAGAACCAAATTGTAGAGAATCTTGGAGAGGCTTGGCGGCATTTGCTCTGTCATTGAATACTCGAAAAGGATGATATTTGTAATTGTTATATTAAAAAAAAATGTATAATTGTGCTCTGTTAATTATATATATTTCTCTAAACGTGTATATTTCTATTACTTTGCATACCTAAAAAATCCTTCAGGTAATCATGGAACATTTTATGCATATTTTTTTGTCTTCAATCCTCCATTTTTAAAAGTTTTATTATTATTATTTTTATTTTTCAAATACAATCTACTGTTTGATTGTATATTTTGACCGACATATGCAATACCGACTAAAGCCATTATTTTTACATTAATTTTCACAAACGGATGACTCCGTTTACCTGATCAATACTGAGGGCTCTTGGTGGGCGTGGTCAATCAAAGAAAGATCTTTACTCGTCGTTGACACCCGATTCCACTTGGATTTTTCAATGGGTCCATTTTTTGCCGTTTTCATTATTGGAATATATTTAACATGTCTTAGAACAGAAATACATCTTACTTAATACTATGTTAAAAATGTACACCTCAGATAATGATTTTTCTTTCTTTTTAGTTGTCCTAATAAGTGTTACAGTAATACTCTTGTTTCGCACAATTGTTTTTTTTTTATCTGAAATTAATGTAATTGTATTGAATATCTTTGATATACAATACCTTTATGATTTTTAACATAACAAGTCCAACAAGTCAGATAAAATTCTGAAATGCTCGTACATAGCAGAATCTAGTTTTACAATAAAATGTAATAATTGTCTACTTTGAATAAAAATTGTGTGCAGTTTAAAATTGTCTTTGAAATTCTGCCCGAAATTAAATCCTGACGCAGCGCTAGATGAAACCACGTTCAAAGACTAAAAACAAAGATAAGACGGTGATGTGCGGACAGTTCCGGAGATGCTTATCCTTAAATCGTGTCTTTACTATCAACATAATATATAATCTACTTCCTTTTGGCTGGATAACCTTTGGGCAGGTGACGGAAATCATAGAAGATTAACAACTGGTAAATGAAAGCATTGACTTTCTTCATTGAATAATATTGTTAATGTGAAATCATTTATTTTTCGTTGAGGGTTGAATTCTTATTGCTTTCGTGATATGAGAAGACCCACAAATTCATTTCATCCACATTATGTTCATATTTCTAGCTTAAGTATAATGGTTGTGTAGCAACCATGGTATTTAATATTATCAAAAACAAACATTTTTTCCCCCTCAGACTACAATTAACCCCACAAAAATAAGTGATTTTAAAGGAAATGAGGTAGTAGTGCAAGTGAAAAAGATTATATTCCAAATAATCCAGACAACTATTTGTCAGTCAACGAAGTATGGAAGGCTATTGCTACCAGTTGAAAATATTTTTTTGCTATGTCGTACTATAATATTGAAATATACTGTAATATTACGAGATACTAAGTCGTATGAACTGGATACTAAGTTGTTTTTATGTACGACATATCAAAAGATATTTTCAACTGGTAGCAATACGTAACGAAGAGATAAAACACTGACATAATTTCAATACAGATTCGGATCTATTTCTGAAATAGACGTAGAGCAGGGGCGTGGCTGCCTATACGCAAAATACGCAAGTGCGTACACATCATTTTCAAAAAAAAAAAAAAAAAAAAAGGAGAGAGAGAAGGGGGTATTCGAAGAAAAAAATCTCAGTTCTTTACCATCCAACAAATATCCGTGTTTCAAATTATTTTGTGTCATACTGTTTGATTTGAATTTTATCACAACTATATAATAAAATTTGAAATCCTTTATTAAATATATCATTGCCAAATCCAAATAAATCATTCATTAATTTTTAATTGTTCTTAAATAAACTGATAATTTTTTAAAGATCTTTTAGAAATTAAATTTCAAACACATCGTTGAATGCTATGATCTACCAGTATATGATTTAAAATACAATATTCTTTGGTTAATAATTTACATTTAGTATACGTGTTTTTGAACGTTAAAAAAGAGTATATGATACAAATAAATTATATCGGTGAAATATTTGGCCTAAATTTAACTAGATGTACAATAAGATTCATGGAATTTCGTCAAATTTGAGATACTTTTTATTTCGGAGAATATAGAGCACAAGCTTGCCTATCTGAGATTTTTATTTATAAGATGCATCCGATACTAGTGTATGAAATATATAGAATTTGTAGATAGGCAAGCTTGTGCTCTATGTTTTCTGAAACAAGATGAGCTGTAAAATCGATGAAAATTTGCATAAAAATGAGAAAATTCGGAAATTGACATATTTTGTGACCTTTCTGTGACCTCTGTGTATCCCATAACTTAGAACCAATACTCATTTTGTGGCAGGGGTGACAACAGGTTTTTATTGATGAACTATTGCAACATTCTAAAAGACACCCCAAACCAGGGGCCAAAAAGGGTCGTAGCCTATCTTGTCCTTTAAGCTAGCAGCCCCCCCCCCCCCAACGTGCATTGCTAGCCCATTCACGGTTAGAAGGCAGTTCCGTCAAGTGCATGAAAAAAATGTGGCTTCTTAAAGATATAAAGCTTTATGAAGCTACCTCTATATGAGGTTAATATTTCCCAGTTGATGCGATACGCAAAAGCATGCTCAGAGTAAAATTTATTGACAAGCAAGTTGATGAGACAAGGATATCAACTGTCTCGTTTAAAGTCATCATTTTGCAAATTCTATAGTCGATACAATGACCTTTTCAGCAAATACAATCTATCATTAAGTCGAATTTTGACTGACGTTTTTCATACAAATTGTTAGGCCATTATTTAAATACTGAATTGTCTATGAATTTTTCCGTTTGCCTGATCATGACAATGAGCAAACGGCGGGTGTGACCGGTCGACAAGGGATGCTTACTTCTCAATGGCAACTGATCCCCCCTCTGCTGGTTTTAGAGGTCCGGTTTGCTCTGCTCCCGATTTGTATTGTTTTAATGGACTTAGGTGCTTGTTTACTGTTCATTATCTCCATATCTCATTCCATATTTGTAGCTTTATCTTGGACAAAGACAGCTGAAAATGTTAATGTCATCTCATATCACTTTATATTAATAAGTATCTGATTCACTATGCAAACTTCGTATGTATGAAATTTTGTCTTTGTAGCAATCTTATGTGTGCAAATTAACGTGTAAAGTAATGTCGCTCTGAAATAATGCGAAAGAATTTATGTATATAATAAATCATTATTGTGATTCAAAAAGACTGTGAAGATAACCACGACAAAATAATTTCTTTTTAATCTAAATAAATGTTACATATGAATTTCGTACTTTGGCTATCTTCTTTTAATTTGCTTAACATTTTCATTTAAGATTTTTAAGTCTGTTAACAAATGTTGCAAACTTACTTTTATCACGATTCATCAATTTGAATTTATTCACGATTTCTTATTTTTGCGACAAAGGAAACTTTCTCTATGAATACACAATGAAATAAATGTATAGTGACGATGAATAGTAGACTGCAAAAAAGTTTGCGAAACTCTTACATTTTCTCGCACGCTAACTGCTGGTATACAGTAGAATCTAGCTTAAGGCACATTTTGCATTCTTTTGGTACACTCTCATAAGGTGATCTGGGGCCCGTTTCACAAAACTATCTTAAGACTAAGATCTGTCTTAAGACTGAAAATTATCTTAAGATTGCACCATATAGCCGTTTCACAAAACTGTCATATCTTATGATAATCTCACGATCTATCTTAATCTTAAGACAACTAGATGCCTATCTTAAGTCTAAAGTGAAACTGGTGACAGTATATTTTTTGGCTAAAAACCGAAGGATATTTAAAGAAAACGGTTTTTAGAGACAGAACAATCCTTTGGACTATATCAGGCCAGTCGGAACAATGACCACTCCCCCCAAATATAATTTGCCAATAAATATACGATAAAAAACCTAAAATGTACCTACTTTATGTTTGTGCCACTTTATTCATTTCAAGACATTTTTCTTTGGTTGTGCCCCCTCCCAACTGAAATTGCACCCCCCCCCAAATGCTTCTTAAGGCCATGTATATATGTACATGTATGTAAGATCCAGATATAATATGTAACTTTATTCAAAATTGTTTAATTTGATTTTAATACCCCGCAAGAATATCACAATTTCTATGACCAAACATTGCTAATTTATGCAATTTTAAAAATGGCTAACGTAATTCGAGATACATGTAGTTTATTTATTGATAGGCTAAGTAAATATATTTTGAATAAATGAAAATACCAGATATATGCATTTTCATGGATTGGATAAGTCTCGCCCATGAAAATAAAAAAAAAATCTAACTTCTGTGTAGCTACCCTGCATTTTTAAGACGTTTAACTTTAATTTATTTTGTTACATTGTGGTGATTTTTTTTTTTTTAGAAATTTGAAAGTATATATTTCTTTCCGTCTTACAAAATTAGATGAAAATCAAATAGTTTTAATTCTTGTGGTATCCTTCATTAATCCACCGGAATGTGTATGAAAATTCAATAAAATTACTGCTGTAACATTTGATCCTGCATGTACATGCTTTCTTAATAGTATTGAAACTGTAAAATTTTGATTAGAAATTGTTCTTTCGTTTCTTTTCTTCGTCTGTCAGTCAGCATTGTTATTTTGTTGCAGTAGTTACAGCGTTTCAGAGACACCTTCATCGAATTTTATGAATGAACTTTGAACACGATTTGGTGTTTCAAAAGGATCCATTGCTAAAATCATTCATTATTTGCAAAGGTTCAGATACCCTAGTAGCTTTAATTAAAAGTAGTATCACATACATTTCGTCAGCAACTACTATTTTCTGAGCAAAAAGACATTTAAGCAAATTTTATTCAATAATTTTTTGTGATGAAATTAATTCAAATTTAGTTTTTATGACCCCCCCCCCCCAACACACACACACAAAGTACATTGAAGTTGATGCAATAAAATGTTTTTTCCGATGGTATATATGCAAAAGAAACTATATGATACACTCTATTATTTCAATATTTCAAAGAAAATTAAAGAAAGACAACTAAACTTCGTGCAAACATATTTAAAAAAATTCCCTGTGATATTGAAGAATGGAATTTGTTTTAAGACTTGTCTTAAGAATTCCTATATTTAAGATAGTTTTGTGAAACAGCAGTGACAAATCTTATGATTGTCATAAGTTAGATCTTAAGATAATCGTAAGATCTATCTTAGGACAAATCTTACAATAGTTTTGTGAAACCCGGCCCTGGATGTTTAAAATCATTTACTCTGTTTGCCAATTCTAAGGTGGCAATATGATAAAGTGATGGAGATTTGGATAGTGGAAGGAAGATTGCAGATTATAAATCTATTTTCAATTTTACAAGTTTGGAATTTTTATCATTTTGAAATAAATTCCCCTCAATGGTGAAACCGTGCTATATACCTGATTTATAAAGTTGGTGTTCATGTCAAATTTACCTTCAATATAAGTATTCTAAGTAGTCAATGTGACTGTCGCTTTCTGTTGCAAAAAAAATATCTAGAAAGAATTATATATCTTAAATCTCATCAAAATGTAGGACATCCGTACAATTGTTCTTATCTATCACCTTCTTGTGGGCTATGTGAGAATTGTGAATCAAAATGACTATTATTTTCGCACCATATGTCATTTCGGAGTATTACCCAAGTATTTCTTATTTTATGCCCAATAAGTATGCCATGCGTATCTTTACTCATATGACCATCACTTGAAACACCAAACGATATTCTTAAAGTAATTGATAGAATAATATTTCTACAGATAGGGAACATTTTATTGAAATTCATCCATTCATAACGGTTTCTTTCAATCATATGACAACTCAATGCATCCCAGTGAACAGGAAGAAAAGGTTTGTCACATCTACATGTATTACATATTTGGATGTTTTATCGACTATAAGTGTTAATGGCAAGCTAACAACTAAACTTTATGACAAACTTTATGACTTTAGCTTTTCAATCGTGAAATTTCCCTTTTTATACAATGATATTCCTTTACCCTAAGTTATAATCAATATTAGAAATGTTATTTTACAAAATAAGGTTTGATTGCACAGCCAGATAACGGCATCTAAAGAAAGTGTGTTTCATAGTTTTGGTCATTGTAAACATTTTTTAGAGAATAAAGAAAATGGATCTGATTCAACAACATATTGTTATTTATTCGAAAAATCAGGTCAACTTGCCAACTCTGACTCCTTTAGTTTCAAGCACCTCTCCAAGCAAATGAAACACCGTTTTAAACCCTTGTTTATTCCTTGAATGAATATCAAAGGAATGAAGTAATTCAGGATAGATACATATACAAGATCTTTACATTGAAACACAAAGCAAAATAGATCTATTTCAAATAGGATATATTTTGGTAGGTCTTTAGAAAGAAGTGAAATGAGAGTTTTACTTTTGTTGAAACAGAAAATAATGAAATGCTCTCGAATACTGTTCGTTATCTCCACATATTTCATGCTATAAAAACTCAATGTTGATAGTACATGTATAATACATATGTTTGCTTACAAATGTATTTTACTTACAATTACGGTATATAGTGTGTGGGGACCTGATGTTGGCGCAACTTGCAAAATTACCAAGGTAAGAGGATTGTCAAGCAGACTGAGATTTGAATCATTTTAAAAATTGTCAACTGCAAACTGAAATTTAGTTTTATAACTAACAGTTATAATCTCAAACATTTTTTACTTAAAATGCTTGACATCTAAGACGTTTTATCACAATAAACGAATTTGTCTCCATGATATTGCTCTGGACCAAAATGTTTGCTGTATTTGTCCAATTTCGTTATAATCACCATGTGTAATACCCCACAACTAAAATGAATTATCAATGAATTTTAAAAAAAATAAACAAAAATTTACCGAAATTAACACATCAAGACAATGTTTTGAACAAATGAAATTCAAAATCAAAATCAGTTTTTGAGATTACATATATATATTGGTCAAAGTCTTATCATAAAACCTAAATATAGAATTACCATGAGACGGGGCATCCAAAAATAGCTCTCTTGTTATGTCTTATCTACCAGTATAAGAATTTGGTCTTCCTGTTGGCTATTTTAGTGTTGATATAAGGAGAAGTCTAGTTTCTAAAGGTATTGACACCACTGACTTTCACATCATGAATCTATCCCACTTCAGTTTTGCACAACTACGGTTTTTGTCGAATTCATCGTTTAGTTTGAAAAATGTTGATAGTGACACTTCTGAATTGGAAAGAACGTTTCAGATTTATTTGTATGCGTTTACAATGTTTTTATCCTTTTTTGCCAACTTTTCGTTGATTGCTATTGTCTTAAGTGCCAAGAGTCTAAGAACAAAATTCAACTTTTTTGTGGTGAACTTCTCTTTTGTGAATTTACTAATTCCAACATTCTGTATGTGGCTTCATCTTATCTACCATTTGGACAAAGGGCAATGGAGATTTGGAGCTTTCTTCTGTAAAATTAACATATTCTTGCAAGGTAGGTTATTTATTTCATTTCATTAGCATCGAGTAAATTGGGTTTAGTGATGGTTTTTTTAAGGAAGGCAATTAGATAATTATGAAAGAATAATTTGTTTAAAATACTTCCATACTTTCGAATATTTTGCTTGAAACTGTTTTGAATGACAGCGCAAAACCTTTTGCACTGAATTTTTGAGAAATTGTTGTAAGAATGATGACCTTGAGGTTTATAGAAAAAAACAACCTTTTTTTCATTTACTGTAAGATGGACAGATATTTGACTTGGTGTGAATATTTGTTTCAAATTAAAAGCAATTAATGCATTAAATTTCTGAAGATGTATTGAAAAACTAAGTTTAACACGTAATATTTTTATTCATATCAAAAATGTCATAATTCTTCACTTAAAGCGTTTTGAAAATTAACATACATTGTTTTATGGAAATAGTTAAACATCTTAAGAAATGTTGTTGATTTCAAGTATTTCTAATGCACTTTCGGGGTAATTCTTTTGTTTGGAGTATTTTCCCCATCTCTCCTAATAACAATATAAAAGTTTAAACACTGTTCCTTTTAAGGACCCTCTATACACCAGCGCAAAATGTTTTTTTTGGACACTGAGAAAATTATACTTTATAAATGTGAAAATATTGAGCTTATCTATTTAATTTTCAATATATGGTACGTGGCATTTACCCCCAAGAAAAATGTTCAAAGACAACAAAGTATCATTTAAACAGAAATCACTGTTGTTTACTTCAGTGGAGAAAATACATGCAAATAAAGTGTTCAATGAATTTATCCTGGCCTTTTAAAATACTTAGAATACTTGAATTGATCACAAATTGAAAAATACACTGAAAAGTTCAATTTATTTGAATTCAGATCTAAGGGCAGATCACTCTAACTGCAGAAAAATACCACAGAATCAGAACTCTTTAGTGTGCAGTGTAGAGAGGGTTCTTAAAAATGTAGAAAAATATCAAAAGTCGTAAAAGTACAACGTTGTTTATCTTATTTTTTTCATACTAGATTTTTGGCGTACTTATTTGGCACACTAAATCTGTATAAACCTCCCTCCACGCTTGAAAAGCGGGAGTGTAAGTAAATGTTGTTCGTCCGTCCGTCTGTTCGCCTGTCTCTCTGTCCGAGACGCTTTGGGGTATCCATCTTATCCGTAACTCCTCCTTTAGCACTGAATAAAATTTAATGACGCTTTTCAGAACCTTTATTACATAGTGTCATATCTTACTTTATGTTTTGATCGGACAAATATTTTGGCTTTCCCGTAGCAAAAAAAAAGGCTTTGCCATTATAACCATATGGAAGTGGAAATCATTTTGTGAGCTCAGTGCTCACATACCTCTAGTTTATAATTTTGGTCCTTAAAAATTCAAAAAGAAAGCCCTTAGAAAGATTTTAGAGAAATATTTGTTGTACAATTATAAAACTTGTATACAAAAAAAAATCTAAGCACATTTAAATATCTTGATTCTTTTAATGATATAAAAAAAGCTTTTCAGATAAATTTAATGACACATTTGTGTTTATTATTTCAATTTAAGAAGAAAAATTATTGCAGTGGTCTTTTTAAAAGTATTTGGTTGTGTATGCTTTGCCTTTTAACATATAACTTATTTTTTATGATCTAAATATTCCTATTTTAATTTGAATAGTTTCCAATGGTATTTTGATGTTATGAAACTGTGAAGTTTTCTTTAATTAAATGAAGTAATAATCATGGTTTCTTAAACTAGGTATTGATACAAAGTTAATATATCTTTATATTATATAAATATATAATAAACATTTAAAGAGATTGAAAAGATTTTAAAAATACTTCAACTGTTCCTAATTAAAACAGTCAACTAATACATATATTTGGTAAAAAAAATTTACAACATGATTTTGGCCAGTCTGATGAAATTTATATACATTTTGAAGAAACTCATATCACTTGTACTTAAATCTATCTGTTGAAATAGTGGGCGGTAGATACCATTCGATCCTATATCGAGTTGGTATTGAAAGTGTACTTTAAGATTATGAACAAAGTCTAAACACGACGTATAAATCTCTCAGACAAGTACTTCTTAAATTTTATCAGGGTGTGGGAGTGTATAGATTTCTTATTTATTGAATTCTGTCAAATTTATATCTCTTTTAGTGGTTATCTTGATTTGAAATTCCAAATATATCACGACAAGAGCTAGAAATAGATTGTCAATGAAACACGTTACAATTTAATTGTTAAACTTTAAACATTTTTACCCTCCTTTGGATTCATAAACTTTGAACTTTTATCCACCTAACAACGTTAATAAATCAAATGAAATCTTAATTTCGAAAAAAATGTCTTATGCAATAAAAACGTCATTGCTTATCAAGGATATGACTTCATTGTCTATTTTATAGACAAATGATTTTTCGTCATGCTGGATTTTAAAATGTATTATATTATTATAAACCTTATGCTACCAAATAATCTGAGATAGTGAAGGTAGCGTCCTTTATTAGATGCCTCATCACAACTAAGATATGAATTATTCCTTTATTATGAATATAACATTTTTTTTTAAATTCACTCAATGTCGTATTACAGAGCTACCCACCTGAAAGTACTGTAATGTCAATTTTTATGAAGTATATATGTCTATTATGGGGGAATTGCTAAAGATAAAATGAGGGTGAGACATGCCTTGCTTCTTAGTAAAATCCCATTAAAACTGATCTTTTTGCATTAAAAAATTGAAATATTTATTTAAATTACTTCAGTTTAAAAATATTTTAAAAATGACAATCTTTTTAAGTAAATAAATACTAAAGGATAGTATTTTGAAAATTATTTCGTTTAGAAAAAATTATCATGAGGTCTAAAACTTTGAATCGTGGCTATTTGCACTTAAAAATAAGACAACATGAACACAGTACGTTTTGAAAATTCGGGGAAGGAAAATTCCATATGAATATTATTACTTTATCTTGCAATTTTTATATCTAGCATAAATCGTGGGTCTATATCTCGTTTTTTTTTTCAACTTCATGGTTATAAATGAAATTTACTGAAAAATTCAAATCAATTTTTCCAGAGTTTTTTTTCTTCCTTTTCTAAAAAATTAATTTATTTATTTATATTTTTGTAAACATGAGTCTTGTGTATTTTGATAAAACATCGAATCATATTTTTTAATACAGTAAATTAGATAAGTTGCTACTGTTTGTCTAATGTCTGAAAAAATGGTTGTGCATATCAATTTCCTAACAGGAGATGCTTAAAGGCCATTATAAAATTAAAATTAGCACATTTGAATGCATTTCGTGTTTGAAAACCTTCCAGGAAGAAAAAAAACAGATCCCAAGAAAACTCCTTTAAAAAGCATTTGCTTTTCTGTCTTTTGATAACATTATGTTAGATTGTGTACATCCAATTTCTTATGGATATGAAGATAAATATTAAACACACATTTTGAAAGATATTAGTACGGACACTTTAGTATCCTATTGCTTACGAGCGTCCCTCCTTAAGAGAAGGTTACTGGGTATAAGATATTAATATCTTGTGAACAAATGGTTCCCCTTTTCTCATTTGATTATTCAAGAAATTCCAAGAAAAAGTTAATAATGACCACTCAAACAATATAAGTAGAAAACATGTTGCTCGATTACAATAACATCTGAAATCACCTTATGTATGCAATTTCCAAAAATGTTCTACTAATTTCATTTTCAGTTCTTGTTGTTTGTGTTAGCAACTTCATTTTGACTGTAACAGTCCTTGACCGTTTCTTGGCAACGCTTTCCTCACCACTGCAGAAGTACACTCAGGATCACGTGATCATCGTTATGCTTGTTGTGTGGACGTCAGGCCTTGTTCTATCCCTACCATACATCTTTTACACAAAATTTTCAGAGTTTAATTGGATAGGTGGTCACGAGAGACTGTGCCAGGCTCATTTTCCATCCATGGAAGCTAGAAGAGCCTATGTGACCATTTTCTCTTTACTAGGCTATGTTTTTCCGGTCCTTGTAATGTTCTTCCTCATTAGTATTTCTCTGAGAAGTACAGGTGTACCAAATGATAATATGGAGAGGGACGTGCGAACTAGATGTCAAATGAAACGTAGGGTAGGTATTATATATACAATCGAGTCTTAGTAACCTCGGCCTCAATAATCCAGGTGCTTTACCTTTCGGACAAAATTCGTGTGGAACAGAATTTACATATATAGCTAACAATTATAAAAATTAGATATCAGTAATTTGGATGCTTCATTACTCTACTTTGCTTGCAAACACAAAGGTCCCAAGAAATGAGGCTTGACTGTACATGTTTGTTCATAGCGTAGTTATGTATTAGAATTTTCGAATTGGACAGTTCACTGCATTTCTCTTATCGAACTTATAATTGATTCAATTTTATGAAATAAAACTGTATCATGTATTTTTATAAAACACACAACTTTAATTTCCACTTAAAAAAAAAAAAAAATTCTATCCTTTTAACTGTTTTGGTTATTATTTTTCAGGCCCTACACTACGTATTCACTGTCCTTATAGTATTTTTCCTTTGCTGGTCTCCACAACAGTTCCTTATGCTGTGGGATGTTTTCAGAGAAAGAACGCTACATACCAAGGTAAACTGATGTCAATTTGAATATCATTATACAACGTACACATTGAGGATATCTATATTGTATTTGATATTTGCTTTATCCAGTGAGTTGAAATGAAGTATATTCGTAAGTCTTGTCGAGGAAACATAATCCTTTTTAACTAGTTAGACAGCAATTATCAAATAACAAATTTTTTAGAATTATTTATCTTAAACGATTTTAGTTTTTTAGCAAAACGAGTATGCTTTTTCTCTTCATTTAGTTGCCGAAGAACATCCACCAATACAGTTTCTATTCTTACTACGTTGCATATGCCAGTAGTTGTGTGTACCCCATTCTGTACATGACATATAACAAAGGTTTTCGGTTTGCAATCACTCAGATTCTACGTTTCAAACGACGTAAGGTCACGAACATTGATACCAATATAAAGGATATTGAAGGTAAATACTGCTTACAACAACGAATGAATTTATTCAATGTACTTAGGATTTCTGCATATTCTACATTTTGATAATTTAGGTAACAAAAACTATTTTAAGACTATTTTGTGAAATTTGAAGATAACGAACATTAATCAAACTCAGAAGTTATTTAGAACAATACAAATTTGAGCAGAGCAAACCTAACCCTCTATAAACATTAGAAATTGGATCAGCTGCCATGGAGGAGTAAGCATTCCGTGTCGATCGGTCATGTTCGCCCTGTCACGCTCCTTGTCATAATCGGGCAAACTATATGTCAAAATCTCCAGAATCTTAATTAAGGTCTGACGACACGTTCCTCAAATATCGATGTTTTGTATCTCATAGTTATATACTACAATTTAATCATAATTATCATAATCTTATGATTTCTAAACTGTTTTTAAAATATATTAAGAAATAAATACACCAACAATTGATATTGGCAATGCTAGTGATTTCTAATAGAATTATATAAGAAACACCATCCTTTGGTATCTTGCACAAATGCCTGGTAAGGTACCTCAATTTTTTGAAAGGAAACTTGTTAAAGAAGCAATACTTCATTGACAAATTCTTGGGGAAAATTATATATTATTGAGGAACGTGTCGTCTGACCTTAATTTTACTTGAATACAGAAATCAAACATTGTTGTCTATTTTCCACAGGGGATGCTTTATTGCTTACCCCTCCATGGTTCCTGATCCCACCTCCGATACTTGAAGAGATCCGTGTATGCTCTGCTCCAAATTTGTTGGTTCAATGGTCTTTTAAGCTTGTTCACTGTTCTTTTTTTTCATATTTTATACACAAAGCACCATATAAAAAATATTTAAAAATATATATAAAATATAAAATTTTAAGAGGGATTATTGGATAAAATACACAGAAAAAATCTTAATTTTACAGAACAAAATGGTGGTTATGAAAATGATAACGACTCTTTTGAAGCTTTGGGAAAAGATTCTGGAATGCAACAAGTACAACTTCAACCTATGAACCAAATACAGGTGATAGCAACCATTGAAGAGCAAGCACAAAAATCAACATAATTGAAAGATGAAAAATTCCTCGAGTGTTTACTATTATAACGTAGCCCAGAAAGTTCCAATATTAATTTATATCGATTACGCATTTGCTAAATACAAACCCATTATCTTACATTGATTAATTCTTCCTCTATAGCTTCATCACAAGCCAAACCCATGTTTTGTATATTATTTATCATTTCTAAATGTAATTTTGTGTAATTTTTAAATAACGGTACATTTCATAGAATTAAAAATACTGGATACAGAGAAGTTGAAATCGCATTCAATGCTGAACAATTTATTCTTTTGTAAGTATTAAATATATGTAAATAAAATTTGGTATTGCATAACTGAGAAAATATATTGTTTTGACCCAGAGGATAAAAATTCCCGAGGATACAGTAGACTATCAAATATCATGTATAGAATATTTAAAAATCTTCTGGAGATAGTGAGCTGCAAAACTCATTGAGAACAAATTTTATTTTTTGTGATGTATATAGACATGTTTGTTTTTTTTTTAAACTGTACTGTATATACTGAACTAGTGCTACTATAGAACAAAGTCATTTTTATGATCAAATAAATGTGTGCAATAATAGTATTTTGGTTTTTTATTGAAAGTGAAAAAAAGGTTAAGATAAAGAACAGAGATCGATCTAAACAAATCTACAAACAATACAAATCTGTTAACAGAGCATCCAACTGGGACCTCGGAAATTCCAGAGGTTGAAATACAAAATGTGGAATATATATTGGGGTACAACAGTCGTCTTTTTAGATAAATATATTCAAATCTATTCAATCTTTCATAAACTGGCGATATCTACCTCCAAATTATACTTCATCAAAGCGTTGTGCTTGAAATCGCAATTAATTCTCATTTAAAAATATCTTAGTTATGATAAATGGTAGAATTAACATTTACTCTATGTTTTTGTTTGTTTTCCTCTATGATACAGTTAGTTAAACAATACCTACAGTAATAATGATTCTTTGAAACTTAATCTCAGGTTAAATTGAAAGCGGGTAAGAAAATAACATTCTGTTGATATTATATGTACATTTGTATGCTTATGATTAAAGGATGTTAAATTTGTTATCTGCATCATTAATAGAAAATGAATGGTTTCATAATAATAAACTGGTAGAGATGGCAAATTTGCACCAAAAAAAAAAAAAACAAAACAAAACAAAACAAAAAGCAAAAAACAGAAAAACAAAAACAAAAACAAGAAAATTAAAAAAAACAAAAAAACAAACAAACAAAACAAAACAAAACAAAAAATTCAATCTGAAAATGTCTGGGTTTTTTAAGTGCAAAATGTTTTCAAGACAATGCATTGTCTTGTAGTAAAAGGTATATAAAATAGCAACATAATGTTCAACTCTCTCCAGATATTCAAGGATAATTAATTTGATGAAAGGCAAAGTGATTTTGCCCATTAAACTATTTTCACAAGAAATACAGCCCGAAATATTTTAAACTTTGGTATTTGTGGCCAATGCCGAGGATTACAAGCCATTTTTTTTAAATTCAGATAATAACAGTATGGTTCTAATTTATCAAATAAAAAAGCAAGGATTTATATCATAACGCGAAAGTTCCACAAAAACATATAGAAGCTGTAAAATTTCTAAGTGCTTTGCTTTTGATTAAAATAAAAAATGTGAAGAAACGAACAGTGAGTTATCTTAGGGAGATATTAGTGAAAGCAGTGTAACCAACATGTATTTCTCAGTTTCCAACTTCGGTACTCACTGTCCTTATTTTCATATTTAATACAAAATATTTTTGTATACGAAATCAGCTGGGAGACATTAACAACAATTGCTGGTTAAAGTGGAATATTACTGCAAAGAATAAAAGAATTAATAACGGAAAAGCCGAAGTCATAGTTCAGTAGTTATTTGGAAATTTATGTTTATGTTCAGTATAACATCCAAATATGTAAAAGATGTGGTAGACACTGTGAAGTCTTCTTTTCGGGGGGTGGGGGTGGGGGGTTCACTGGAAAATATCGAGTCGAAATATGAATGAGAAACTTCAATAAAAATGGAACTCTACAATTTTTGTATCTTGAGAATGGTCGTCAACAAAATTACTTTGTTAAAAAGCAGTTTGATTCTGCACACAAGTACTGTGAAGTTGATATTAAAAGGATGCTTGATTTCCTTATTAACAACATTTACGTAATCTTCGAGGACTATGTATTCCAACAAACCGTTGGAATTTCAGTGGGTACCAATTGTGCTCTCTATTAACCGACCTTGTTTTATTCCTATGCAGCAGTATAGATTCAAAAACGTCTACATGAGAAGAAAAACTTGCTGTGGCTTTAAATTTGACTTTCAGATATATCGACGTTTTATCAATTAACAGTAGTTACTTCTATTCATATGTCGACTCGATACATCCTGGTAAACTTAGAATAAAAGACACCACAGAGTCTGACACATCTTTTTTATATTTAGATGTTTTACTGACTAAAGACGAATGGTCCCACTAACATCAAAATTGTATGACAAACAAGATGACTTCAGCTTTTCCATCGTCAACTTTCCTTATTGATGTATTAATAATCCGCTATTATCTGCATAAGTTGTTTATATCCCCTAACTTATTCGATACTCAAGAGCATCCCTGGTCATAGATCTGTATTGTTTAATTTTAACGTTTAGTAAATGGCAAGGTATAAATTGTCATCTTATTGCCAAACTTTTGAAAATCATTTGTCTATATCTTTTTCAAAAGTTGATCTTTATAAGAAGATAATAATATTTATCATTTGTCTGAATTTGCCATTATAGTTACATGTAAACATGCAATATTAATTACTATATGTAAATTAGATTCCATTAAGATTCGTCCGTAGAATTCTAATTCCACTGATGAAAGTTTTCAAATCGTCAAATTGCTGTTAATGATTTATTGCAATGTTCATGCAATCAATCAAACACAAGACAAGAAACTCAGTGTTTAATAAAAAATAAATTTACAATTCTTAGGTATTACCACAGAAAACATGTAATTGCTTCATTGAAAACAAGAGAAAAATGACAAGGCGACGGTTATATTTGTGTTTTATCTATACAATTCCTTTGTGGTGCTATTTGCCGTTGTTATATCATCCCATGACTTCAAATGGCGATTTCTTATTTATACTGTATAAAGAAAACATCATATATGTTAACCACAATATTGTCAAAATTATAGTTAATATGTCTACCGATATCTCAGTGTTTTGCATATAATTTATCAAATTACAAGGATCAGCTGAGAAATCACATTCGTGTTCAGTGACAAAACTTTATACCAAATTTTATACATGTATACCACGTTTAGATAAATGCTTCATTGGAAAAGTTTGAAATATTTGTGGTATACAAAGTAACACAAATATAATAATATGACGCTAAAAAATAATACTTTTTTTGATCAGTACTAAATTTACTCCGTCGTCGCTAGCCAGTGGTTTCTGATCGCTACTCTCCTTACAAAAACTTGACCTAAGGTGCTATCAAAAGACGGGATTTTTTCTTGAGTTGTGGTTGGAGTTTATTGATATCGTTCGACCAGTCAACGACTGCTTTTGTAAATGACGATATCTCCATTCGGGATATATCCTCACTTTTTAGTCTCAGGAATGAAAAAACACACGTAAAATAACTTGCCATTCTGTAAATAGCTAGAGTGTCGTCCAACTTTAGCTGATGTGCACATAATATGATCAGGAATCTATATATTGCAGATACAGATCCGCACCATAAATAACAAATAAATATCTGCTTGTTATTCATTCTTTAAATACTTTAATTTTTTAATCCTATTTTTTATTTTTGTCGATCACGCAATTTGTGCGCATGTGGTAAGATTTGAGATCACGTGACGTAAACAATTCCGACTTTTGATAGCACTATAGACCAAAGGAGCGGATCAGAAACCCTTGGCTAAGGAACATGCATTTACTCTTCTAAATGGTATGTACTTTCATTGACATTCATTTTCATACTTCAAATTCAGTCTTTCCTTATTGTAATAATATGTTCGACAGTGTTAAAATACGGTAGTATTTGGTTGCTGACAATAATAATCTTCATCCTAAGTTCATTCAAATTTTTTTAGCACATCTGTTGAATGTTAGTTTGTAAGTGCAAACAGCAACGAAATATTACTTCTATCTACTTCTAGAAAACAAGTATCTAGGACAAACCCGGGAGATATTTTGGTTCTCCTTTAACACAATACAAAGTATAATTCTGTCTAAAGAATATCTGTCAGTATTGTCATGATCTTCAAGATCTCAAGATCATAAACCGAAAACCGTCTAAAAGTCAAAAGTTCAAATTACATTAAAAATAAGCTCTGAAATCATATTAAAAATGAAATAGAAATATTCAATATTTTACAACTTTTTACAACTTTTTTAACATAATACCGGTATTCAGAATCTAACTTTTGACAAATCTTTCTCAGTTTATGGTCTTAGGGTCTGTTTTTACAATGCTAATATTGATCACTTTGAATTGTTTAAACATGCACTTTCTTTACAGAAAGTTTTATGAACACCGAAAACTGCACATTTACAGCAAAAGTAATCAAAATATGTGTGGTTTTTTAAAAGTACATTCAATCACCCAAGTTTGTCCTTTGGTTAAAAAAATATGTACAGCATTTATTTTTTTCTATTTAAACAGCCTACTTCAAGCAGAGTTGATCTATCATGAACACATACAATAACAAAAACAAGAGGCCCATGGGCCACATCGCTCACCTGAGCACATTGGCAAGGGGGGGGGGGGCTTGAATTTTAAACTACCTGATGATGCTTCCATGTCAATATATAATTTGTTTTAACAAATGGCTTTGTTGTACTTGAGAAGATTTAAAAAAAAAATTCCCATATATTCTTCTGTAAAAATTTGATCCCCCATTGTGGCTCCTCCCTATCCCAGGGGTCATCATTTGAACAAACTTGAATCTACACTACCTGAGGATGCTTCCATATCAATATGACTAAACATAGCTTTTCTGTTCTTGAGAAGAAATTTTTTTCTATATGTTCCTATGTAAAACTTTTGATCCCCTTATTGGGCCCCACCTTACCCTCGGGGGTCATCATTTGAACAAAATTGAATTTACACTACCTGAGGATGCTTCCATATCAAATGACTAATCATGGCTTTGCAGTTCTTCATCAGAACATATCTTCCTATATATTTCTATTTCAGCCTTTTATCCTCCACTGTGGCCCCGCCCTACCCCCGGGGGTCATGATTTGAACAAACTTGAATCTACACTACCTGAGGATACTTCCACATAAATATGATTAAACAGGGCTTTGCTGTTCCTGAGAAGAAGATATTTAAAGATTTTTCCTATATATTTCTATGTAAAACTTTGATCCTCCATTGTGGCCCCGCCCTACCCCCCGGGGGGTCATGATTTGAACAAACTTGAATCTACACTACCTGAGGATGCTGCAATATAAATATGACCAATTAGGGCTTTGCTGTTATTGAGAAGAAGATTTTTAAAAATTTTTCCTATATATTTCTATGTAAAACTTTGATCCTCCATTGTGGCCCCACCCTACCCCCAGGGGTCATGATTTGGACAAATTTGAATCTACACTACCTGAAGATGCTGCAATATAAATATGACCAATTAGGGCTTTGCTGTTATTGAGAAGAAGATTTTTAAAGGTTTTTCCTATATATTTCTATGTAAAACTTTGATCCTCCATTGTGGCCCCGCCCTACCCCCGGGGGTCATGATTTGAACAAACTTGAATCTACACTGCCTGAGGATGCTTCCATATAAATATGACTCATCATGGCTTTGCTGTTCTTGAGAAGAAGATTTTTTAAGGTTTTTCCTATATATTTCTATGTAAAACTTTGATCCTCCACTGTGGCCCCGCCCTACGCCCGGGGGTCATGATTTGAACAAACTTGAATCTACACTACCTGAGGATGCTTCCATATAAATATGACTCAACATGGCTTTGCTGTTATTGAGAAGAAGATTTTTAAAGGTTTTTCCTATATATTTCTATGTAAAACTTTGATCCTCCATTGTGGCCCCGCCCTACCCCCGGGGGTCATGATTTGAACAAACTTGAATCTACACTACCTGAGGATGCTTCCATATAAATATGACTCATCATGGCTTTGCTGTTCTTGAGAAGAAGATTTTTAAAGGTTTTTCCTATATATTTCTATGTAAAACTTTGATCCTCCATTGTGGCCCCGCCCTACCCCCGGGGGTCATGATTTGAACAAACTTTAATCTACACTACCTGAGGATGCTTCCACATAAGTTTCATCTTCCCTGGCTTTGTGGTTCTTGAGAAGAAGATTTTTAAAAGATGCTACTAATTTTTCACCAATTCTTCATTATCTCCCCTTGAATGAGGGCGTGGCCCTTCATTTGAACAAACTTGAATCCCCTTCACCCAAAGATACTTTGTGGCAAGTTTGGTTGAAATTGGCCCAGTGGTTCTTGAGAAGAAGTCGAAAATGTGAAAAGTTTACAGACGGACGGACGGACAGACAGACAGACAGACAGACAGACAGACGGACAGACGGACAGACGGACTACAGACAAAATGTGATCAGAAAAGCTCACTTGAGCCTTCGGCTCAGGTGAGCTAATAAAGCCATGGTATAAATATACTAGTATGTTACTTTAACTAAAACTGTGTAGATATGAAAAAGTACCTACTTGATATGCCAAGACAGAAATGATTTGAAAGATTTGATGAATAGTTGTTCAAGAATTGTGCAATGACCTATTCTCAAACATATACACTGTAAAAGACTAACCACAATGGTTTGTGAAAAATGCTTGAGATATGATATAGCAAGAAATAAGCGCTGGTTGCTAGTTAACAGTTTAAGTATAACCAGCAAACAGTTATAGCGTGTTTAGTAAACAAAGAGAATGTATTCATTAAAGTTATCACACAAGATAGTTTTGTGTAATTCATATCATACACAAAAGAAGCAAATAGTTATTGCGTATTTGGTAAACAGAGAGAATAGTATTCATTTAAGTTATCACACAGGATAATGCTTTGTGTAATTCATATCATACATGTACATAAAAGCCTAGGGATGAAAACGAATAAATGAATGATATAATGTTTGTGGTAGCCAATGATTTCAACTTCCCTAGCACTGGCCTTGTGAGATGACAATCCAGCAATGAACTTTAGAATTCATCCTGCGAAGTTCATCACATCATAAGAAGAAAATCGTGCGCTTCTGCAACAGAACATCAACTTCGTGTAAAAGTTTTTTTTTCTTATAAAATTCCGGTTCAAATTTTAACATTTTTTTTTCAAAACATTTGTAGGAAGATTGTTTCTTCGGTGTAATCTTTGATCAAATACTGTAAATAAAAGTTGCATGATTTTTACCAAACATGCACCATGCTTCGAGAATTAAAATTCGAAATTAAGGAGGGGGGAACATTTTTCAATAAAATGTTTAAACAAAATACAAAACTTGGGATAAAATAAATAACTTGTCATGCTTGGATATGGCAATCTAGGGCATTCGATGCAGTATTGCTTTGAGTTACACACATGAAACTACTTAGATGGTATGTAATGCAGGTATCTTTTAAATGTATAGCGCTACAGTACTTAATAATCCAAAAGCAATAACCTATCAAATAATTATATAATTTTAATCAAAATCAATCCATCCTTTTCTTCATTATCTTCTTCATTCACTCCGCTTCAAGCGATATTCCACAAAACACCGCAGCACACATAAGCAAGCGAAATATTTGCATGCATCTAAAAATACTCCAGCTGGCATGCGCCCTAAGATGTCAGAAATGAAATTTCAGCATATGCGATAAATATGGATGATTCACATAATGAGAAATCGGTGTTATGCGAGTTGGAAATATTTTGTATTCCAGTTTTCTGAAAGAAAGAGTTGATTTTAAATGATGATATACATATATGTACTTTGATGCCATAATATTGTTAAAATTCAGCATTCATTGATTACAGTCTGATGTATAATGTTAAATTGCTTATTAGAAAGGCTATAAAAATACTGTGTTAATTAATTAACCTGTAAATTTTTCTTGCAATTTAATTTAAACCTATGTCATCACTGGTGAAAAAAACATGCAAGCAGAACAGTGAGCAAATGAAAGCCATGCGATGCAGTTTATATGTAAGTAATAATACACATGCCGACGTTACCTATTTGAGGATGAGGTTGCTGTCTTGGACTTTTTCTTTGCATTTGCTATTCTGACAACTTTTCCTAGTCTAGCAGAGACACCTTTGAGAATGTCCCCAGGACACATTGGACATTCGGGACATACGAAGAATGTTTCCGGTGTGTAGGTTTTTACCGGATTTCCACATGCTAGAGGAAATGGGCACTGTTTTGTAGGGCAAACCATGTTTTGTAGAGTTGGTGCAACACCCTGAAAAAGATTTAATCGCGCATTTCTGTTAATATTGAAGTAGAACGGCGGCAAAAAGGCAATGATTTTAAAAGTAAAAATCACAGAGATGGGGGGTACCATATTTTCGACTTGTGCACAATGAGGACTTTCAAAAATCAACATCACATTTTTAAGGAACACCAAGGTCTATTCATTAAAAAAAAAATCTCAATCCTTTTGATTTGAAACCAAAAAAAAAAAATGATAAAAGATAAGATTAACGAGTCCGATTCCTATGTATGGTTAGCAAGCATTGAAATTAATTTACTTTAATTTCAAGAGTTATTTTTGCAAGAAGGTCAAAATCTAGTCAAAAACAAGGCATGGACAAACTAACATTAAATAGAATATCTGAAGGCATAGTAAAAAAAATCGGAGAAAATTCAGTTAATAAAATAGTCTAACAACATGTTGTATGTTGTAAAGTGAACGTTTTTGCCCTGATCTTACCAAATGGCGGCAGTGACATAGTATTACCTAGATATAGTTATGACAATGTCATTTTAATAGTGCCTGTACCAAGTACTTCAAAATCATGATCTTATTATTTTCAGTTATTAATCATACTTACGATGCCGTCTTTAGCAAGTTCCAGAATTTTGGCTACTGGTAAGTTAGGGTTGAGGTTACTAGGTTTGAGAGTTTCTGAAAATACTGCTCCAAGGTTGCCATTAGGAACCGTTTCTATGGCAGCCGCGGCAGCTGCAGCTGCTTCCTTCTTCTTTCTTTTTAGCTGAAGTTTTTTGATGAGGTCTGCAAGTGACTGGTCCTTACCAAGAGTAGCAGAGGAACCGCCTTTGAATTAGATTTTAAAAAGGATAATTATTCTTGGTAATGCATAGCTGGATTGATTGTTTTGAGGAAATTACTTATCTGATGTCAAAGGAAATAAATGGAAATTGAAAATTCTGCATTTAAGAGAAGTAATTATGATAGTATATGCAGCTTAAAACAAGAAGTCTGTGAGCCAATGCTCACTAATAATACCCCCGCTCTGATGTGAATATACATGTTCAGTTATGGACAGACACAGTGATAATCAGGAAGTGGACATTGGATCTTTACAAAAATGAATCCCAACATATGGCATCCTTAAACAAAGGGTGTGCTAAAATTTCAAGCATCTGTGATGAGTAGTTGCCGAGAAAACTGCGACCAAAATTTGTTATGTATGGTACGGACAGACGCACAGATAAACAGGAAGTTGACATCGGATTCGTAGAAAAATGAATCCCACCATATGGCATGCCTAAACAAAGAGTGTGCTAAAATTTCAAGAATCTGCGATGAGTAGTTGCTGAGAAAACTGCGACCAAAAATTTGTTATGTATGGTACGGACAGACACACGGATAAACAGGAAGTTGACATCGGATTCGTACAAAAATGAATCCCAACATATGGCATGCCTAAACAAAGAGTGTGCTAGAATTTCAAGAATCTGCGATGAGTAGTTGCTGAGAAAAATGCGACCAAAAAATTTGTTATGTATGGTACGGACAGACGCACGGATAAACAGGAAGTTGACATCGGATTCGTACAAAAATGAATCCCAACATATGGCATGCCTAAACAAAGAGTGTGCTAAAATTTCAAGCATGTGCGATGAGTAGTTGCTGAGAAAACTGTGACCAAAATTTGTTACGGACAGACACACAGACAGACAGACGGACAGACAGACACACAAGGGTAAAACAGTATACCCCCCTCTCCTTCGGAGCGGGGGTATAATAATTATGTAACGGAACGTTTTCTGCCAGAAATGGAAATGTAATGTGAAAAACCTATGGCCATGACTTAATAATGAAATTCACATTTTTAAGGTAAAAGAATATATATTATACGATATCATTAATGCCATGTCATACCTACTTACGAATGAAATAATAAATAAATATATGATAGATAATTTACAACTGGTCCTGAATATAAAATTAATTTATCAATGGAATTGACTCTGAATAATTCGTAACCTAAGACTAGTGATTGATATTAGTGATTATTGCTAAAGCTCTTGAGAGCAAACCTATGGATAGGTTGATGGTGGAAGCTGGTTTGACGGGTGCTGGTTTGGTTGGTTTTGGGGTGGTTGGAGCAGATGGAATGAGTTCGTTTAATTGGCTAAGCTGAGATAACATGGCTGTGTCTAGTAATGGTGCACTCTGAATGTCGATCAGAGCAGACAACGTGGCCGGGTCAATACCTTTTCAAATGAAAAAGAAATATTATTCAGATAGATGTTTCATTTCATCTTTGAATGTGTAAGTGAAGCAAAAGGTCAATAAAATGGCAATTCAAATCAACTTTTCTCATCAGAGGTGTGTTTTCAAACCTATTTCTTTGATACAATATTAATTTTACAAAAGGAATATCTCCAATTCAGGTTTGATAAAGAAAACCTTCATTTCACAGAATTTGCTAAAGCTTTTGATGAAAATAATGACATAAACAGCGGTCTTTCTCCCAAGTGGTCAGTACATTTATTTATAGAAATGGAATACCCCCTGCTGACGCCCCGCCTCCGGAAGTTAACAGCTGTCTCATTGTTGGATCTGTCAACATTTGCATAGGGTTCTCCATCAGAGATCCCAAATTCAATTGTGACTCACCTGGCAAAAAAAAAGTGCAAAGAAAACATAACAATTAAATATCTCAGATATTTTGCTAAACACAACGGTGTAACAATATTTGATCGGGTTCGATGTTCAATTTATGCTTACATTTTACGCCATGCTTGTTTACATGTTCTAATAAATGTAGTCTAGTTGAAACTGACTTTTCCATTACGCCACACGGCAGCAACTTCTTACATGGTGTCAGAAGTGTCGGACCATTATTAGTGAGTACGGGGATGGAAAATATTGTGTAACCAGCCACAATTAGAGACAAATTGACAGTTTCCTTTGTTATTGTTCGAGAGCGCGCCAAAATCGACAACAATGGAAAACGTACTTCATCCGCCCGAAACAATGGATTTCGATGCTAAAAATCTTTCTCAGACCTGGAAGAAATGGAAGGAAGAGGTGTTACTCTACATAGATATCAGCATGGAGAAAAAACCAGAGCCACAAAAGGTGAAACTCTTGCTGTATCTTCTGGGACGCAAGGGGAGAGAAATCCATAGCACGATGCAGTTTCAAACTACCGATGAGCATGGGAACAAAGTGAATATGGAAGAGAAAAATATTACTGTAAAACTCATCCTCGCAGAATTTGACAAACACTGTGATCCCAAGAAAAACGAAACAGTCGAGAGGTACAAATTCTACAGTCGAAACCAGCAGACAGGTGACACATTTGACAAATTCTTAGCAGAAGTTAGAATTTTGGCTGACACTTGTAACTTTGGAACTCTCAAAGACTCAATGATAAGAGACCGAATTGTTTGTGGCGTAAGTGATTCTGGGCTGCGAGAAAGGCTTCTACGTGTGGCTGATTTAGACTTGGAGAAATGCATTCACGTGTGTAGAGCCACTGAAGTTTCCAAGGAGCAGAACAAGGAAATTCAACCACAGGCTGCAGGAATATCTGTGCATGCAGTCAACTCGCACAAGAAGAGCTTCAAGAAACAGCCACAAAAGTCCCAGAAACCACAGCAACAGGTACAAGCGAGACAAGAGCCTAGTCAATGCAAGTACTGTGGAAGTCGCCATGCCAAAGGAAAGCGAAATTGCAAAGCCTATGGCCATCAGTGCAGGAAGTGTCGCAAACTTCATCACTTTGAAAATGTCTGCAATTCCGCCAAGTCAACAGTCCATCAAATCCAAGAGAGTGCTGAATCAGACTCTGATGATTACTTTTCTATATATAGTGTAGATCTCAAAAACAACAGCGAGTCAGTAAATGCAATTAACCAAGCTTCTGCAAACAAGGTATTTGCCACCTTGTCGGTCAACGGACAGTACGTGAAATTTCAAGTGGACAGTGGGGCGACCTGCAACATACTCCCAAGAAAGTATTTGACAGATAACAATGCAATCACAGAGACAGACCAAATACTCAGCATGTATAACAACACGACAATCAAACCTCTGGGCAAGTGCAACCTAAAATTCAAAAATCCTAAGAACGGAGAAAAATACAAAGCGGATTTCGTCATACTGGATGGCTCGTGTCAACCAATACTTGGTTCCAAAGCTTCACAAGCCTTGAAATTGATCACGGTCGAGAACGAAAACATCCTTGAAATCAATGTGAGAAAACAACCTTTGACAAAGGAGAACATTTGCAGAGAATACCATGATGTGTTTACTGGCCTAGGACACCTGAAAGGAGATTACAGCCTCCAGATTGATCCGAGTGTCAAACCAGTTGTTCATGCTCCACGGAAAGTTCCACTCGCAATCAAGAATGACTTAGAAAAGGAACTGGAGAGACTCGTACAACTGGAAATTCTAGCCAAAGTTACTGAGCCTACACCTTGGGTCTCCAGCTTGGTTGTAGCAAGGAAGCCAAGTGGAAAACTCAGAGTCTGCATAGACCCCCAAGACCTGAACAAGGGACTGCAGCGAGCGCACTACCCTATGCCTACAATAGAGGACATCTTGCCAGATTTGTCAGATGCTAAATGCTTCAGCGTCCTAGATGCCAAAGATGGCTTTTGGCATGTTCGTCTGGACTACGAAAGCTCTCTTATGACTACTTTTAACAGTCCGTTTGGCAGATTCCGCTGGCTTCGCATGCCATTCGGTATCAACACTGCGCCAGAGGAATTTCAGCGTCGCCAGCATCAAGCACTGGAAGGACTACCTGGAGTCAAGAGTATACATGATGACATACTGGTGTTTGGAGAAGGAAACACAGAAGCAGAAGCGCAAGAGGATCATGACAGAAACTTTGTCAGACTCATGATGAGATGTAGAGAACAGCAGCTCAAACTCAATAAGGACAAGATGAAATTTCGACAGTCAGAAGTAAAATTCATAGGCCACACGATCACTAATAAAGGACTCAAGGCAGACCCCGAAAAGGTCAAAGCAGTCCTGGATATGCCAAATCCAACTGACGTAGCAGGAGTCCGACGATTTATTGGATTTGTGACATATTTAGCAAAATTCTTACCAAAGCTTAGTGACATCTGCGAGCCGCTGCGCAAGTTAACACAGAAAGATGTTGAATGGCACTGGACCCCACAACATGACGAAGCTGTAAAACAAGTGAAAAATCTAGTCACAGCAGATCCTGTGTTACAGTACTTCAATCCAGAAAAGGCACTAACAATACAATGCGACGCCTCGGAGAAAGGACTTGGAGCAGCTTTGTTGCAAGAGGACAAGCCGATTGCCTTTGCCAGCCGTGCCCTGACCGAAACTGAAACCCGCTACGCACAAATAGAAAAGGAGCTTCTAGCAGTGATATTCGGGCTTGAACGTTTCAATGTTTACACATTTGGGAGACCAGTATCTGTCCAATCAGATCACAAACCTTTGGAGATGATTGTGAATAAGCCTCTTTACAAAGCGCCAAAGCGTCTCCAGAGCATGCTGCTCAGGATGCAAAAGTATGAAGTAAATCTTAAGTACCGTCCTGGAAAGAACATGGAGCTAGCGGATACCTTAAGTCGTGCGTATCTGCCCAATGAGAAACCATCAAAGGCGGAGTCAGTAGTAGAAGCGATAAATATGCTACAATTCCTGCCAATTGCACCAAACCGTTTGAAAGTCATTCAGGACGAAACTGCAAAGAATAATACCCTGCAAAATTTAGGCGCATCCATCAGAAATGGGTGGCCAGACTGCAAAACCTTAGTTCCAGAACTCATAGTTCCCTACTTTGAGATCAGAGATGAGCTGTCTATCCAAAATGGAGTCATTTTTAAAGGAGACAGAGCAGTTATTCCACAAGCACTACGCAAGGATATGCTGACAAGGATACATTCATCACACCTTGGAATCGAGAGATGCCTACGACGAGCCAGAGAATCTGTATACTGGCCACAAATGAACGCTGAAGTTAAGGACTTCATACAAAAGTGTGAAACATGCCGCACTTTTGACAACAACCAAGGAAAAGAACCTCTACAACATCACGAGGTACCACCACGTCCCTGGGCAAAGCTTGGACTTGACATCTTCACTTTCGACCAACGTAACTACTTGATAGTAACTGATTACTTCTCAAACTTCTTCGAGATTGATGCCTTGGACAGAATGACATCCCATGAGATCATCAAACGACTACGAGCACAATTCGCGAGACATGGAATACCAGACCTGTGTGTGTCGGACAACGGTCCTCAATTTGCCTCCGAAGAATTTGCTAAGTTTGCCCAACTGTGGGAATTCCAACACGTAACATCTTCACCACACTACCCACAAAGCAATGGGAAAGCCGAACAAGCAGTGAAAGTTGCCAAACAAATTCTAAAGAAAGCAAAACATGCAAAATCTGATCCTTACCTTGCATTGTTGGATTTCAGGAACACACCTACACAGCATGTGGGAACCAGTCCAGTCATGAGACTTATGGGAAGAAGAACAAAAACACTACTACCCACGAAAGGAAAGTTATTACAGCCGAAAGATGCACCATTTGAGAAAGAGAAGATCGACAATGCCAAACAAAAACAAGCAGAGTATTACAACAGATCTGCACACCCATTATCGCAACTATCAGTTGGAGAGACTGTCCGAGTCAAAACCCCTAATAGACCATGGGAGAAAGGAACGGTTACGGAAGCAATACCAGAAAGGAGATCATACAAGGTAACGACCGAGGCCGGAGCAAACTATACGAGAAACAGAAAACATTTGCGTAAATCAAATGAATTGCCGGTGTCAAGAGACATTCCGTGTGATCTTCCGTGTGAGACAAATGAGGCCAAGGAAGTGGCATCCGATGTTCCAAAGCCAATAACTGACCCTAAGAACACAGTTACCCGTTCTGGACGTGAAGTGAAACCGCCGGTTAAATACAATGACTATGTCAGATCATGATTTGTTGATAGACATTTAACTTGAGTAGATGCCAAGATAATTTTGTTTAGGTAGCTAGGAACGCTTTATTCATTTCATCGATGTTGCATTTTACAAGTTTGCATATAATACTCATAGTCCAATTTCTAGTCATATTGTTATTTTATTGCTAGTCAGTTCAGTAAAGCAGTACAGATGTTTTGATTCTAGTCACTTTTAAGCATAATATAAAATTTATTCATTGTCCATACTATTCTTACTAAAGAAAAGGGGATGTAACAATATTTGATCGGGTTCGATGTTCAATTTATGCTTACATTTTACGCCATGCTTGTTTACATGTTCTAATAAATGTAGTCTAGTTGAAACTGACTTTTCCATTACGCCACACGGCAGCAGCTTCTTACAAACGGTTCTGCATTGTTTGTATGAGCCAAACCTACAATTATCCTAATTTAAGCAATGCCAATCTGCATCTTATAATCCTTGTAGGCTTGTAAACATTTCTCAAATATTAAACTAAAAATTCCAAACTTCATTCTACGTGTCCTAGGCAATTTGCTAAATATATCTCTAGATACACTTTTTTACAAAAAAATTTTAATATAAGGTTGCGCCAAGTTTAAGCCTAATTTTTTCATTCATACCTTGACAAATTAATGGGGATGTTTTGATCTCCCTTTTTCAATCTGTTTTCAATATGCTTGCATTCTTTAAACCACTTTTATTTCACTGCAATAACACTCTCATCTATATTCTGATAACCGTTAAATCTTACCACTTAGCAGGGAACTTACAAAGAGAACATTACAAATGAATATCTCAGAGGTTTTTTTTAATATAAAAATTGTTCTATAGACTTTTAGTGGCCAAAAATGCAAATACTGTATACAGGGAAATTTTTGGCCCCGTTACATTTTCGCACCTTTCGCCCTCGTCGCATTTGAGCGTAATTAAATTGGGATGAATTCGAGAAAGACAGCATTATCTTTTAAACACAACTGTTTCCGGCGAATTTAAAACGGGGTATAGTATATATTTTTCACTAAGTAGTACTGCGTCGGTCTTATTTCTGTTTTGATAACATTCGTACTCGATACCTTGACAAATAGGTCTATGTACTGTTTTGATATCGCATTTCAGCGATTTCGATTTCTTTGTTTGTTTTTAATTTTAAACACACTGAATTGTCTACGGATTTTTCGGTTATTTGCCGATCATGACAAGAAGCACACGCGGGAGTGACCGCTCGGCAGGGGATGTTCACTCCTCTATGGCACCTGATCCCACCTCTGATGTTTTTGGAGGTCCGGAGTTTTTGTTTTTGCTCCTGTTTGTATTCTTTTAATGTACTTTGAGCTTGAATACTGTTCGTTAACTCCATATTTCATTTTACTACTCAATGTCTGCTTACCCCAGGATTATGAAGTAGTTTTAGACTTAGATTTTTGTATAACTTGTGAATATATTCTTAAAGCTCTATTAAGAGAACACAAAAAATTTAATATGTCATTGAAATCTGTTTCCTTTTCATGTTGTTAATTCAATTTCCAAGTGTCAGTTTACAACAATATTCATTTTATGAATGATTGAAATTTTAATTCAATCCTAAGACCTCTCCGTGACCCTGGGGTATTATTTATATTCTGAAAACAGATTATGCTTACCTCCTAGACCCCCGAGTCCACCACCCAAACCTCCCAGTCCTCCCCCCAGTCCTGCAGCCCCCAGTCCGCCAGCTCCTCCCCCGCCTCCCATCAACAGCTTGCTCATTGTGGGATCACTCAGCATCTCACTCAAGGACCCGAGCTGTGACTTCCCTACAAAGCAATGGTAAACAAAAAATTACTCAACATCTCGCTCAAGGACCAAAACTGAGACTTCCCTACAAACCAATGGTAAACAAAATCTCAATTACTCAACATCTCGCTCAACATGCTCAAGGACGCCAGCTGAGACTTCCCTACAATAAATCAGCATCTCGCTCAGCGATCCAAACTGAGACTTCCCTACAAATCTATGGTAAACAAAATCCTTATCACTCAGCATCTCACCCAATCAGAGGCTTTGCTACAAACCAATGGTAAAAAAATCTTTACCACTCAACATCTTGCTTATGGAACCAAGCTGAGAATTGCCTTAAATGTGCAAATTAACGGCAAGTAAACGGAATAAACAGAACGGATTCAGAGGTTACTGTCTCTGAATCTAAAAGGCATACAAAGGAAAACATTGTTTGAAAAGTAAAAAACGTCATACTTGTGTGATACGCCGGATGTTTATGTAGGATATGACAGAGACATGTTAGAATCTGGACCCAAACACTTGGTTTTGTTTTTCAAAAGAAAAATATAAGGAAGGTTCGATGAAGTTCACTGGGAATTACGATAAATTAGATCCTCCATTATGACATCTTAACTACGAGAATCATAAAATGTTGTTTGCTATCAATTTTATGCTAAGATACACACATTGTATTGAATCTGCGAGACTTTTATTAATGATAATGGTGCATGTATTGCAAGTTGTACAGCAATTTTATACTAAGATACATGTAATGAATCTGAGAGACTATTAGTATTGTCTGGTTGTTTGTTTAAAGTCCCTTCGAGAATTTTTCACTCATATTGAGACGCAGGCCACCATTTGCCGGTGGAGGGCTGCAAAGTTAGACCTATGCTCGGTACTTACGGCCATTGAGCAGTGATGGATCTTTTTCGTGCCAGCACCTACTGCGACACGGGACCTCAGTTTATACGATCACGTCTAAAGAACAGGTCACTGTGTCACACAGTGGCTAAGCCTTCACTGAGACAATTAGACAAGTGTCTTGTTTCAAAAAGAATCTTTACACAAACATGACCTTTTGAGTACAAAATGATGAATATATTATATTATCAAATACATATATTTGAACATCATGTAAAGTCAGACAGTCACACATCGCAGGTGAAAAAAGAATGGTATTTGCCATTTGTGGATCAACAAAATCCTACAATTCTTATAAAACATTTATAACTATATAACCCTTCTTTGGATGTTGGGCACATATTCTAAGGTGTTTTATGATTAAGCTTTCAGTGCGGCGGTCATGATTCATGGTATATAGCAATGAATTCGAACCCGCAACGTAAGGATCAACTCTTTGCTCCGCGACTCTAGAGCAAACGCTCTAACCACTGCGCCACTCGGGCGACGAGAAACTATTGTTTATTATGATAATAGTGCATGTATTTGCTAGATGTACAACAATTCTTCATAGAACAACGAAAGTATACCAGAAAATACCATCATTCTCTTTGAAAATGAAGTAGATTACATTGCATGAAGTGTTTTGACATTTCACTTCAGGGACCATTGGTCCAACATCCAAATCTGAGTTATATATAGAGTCGCATGTAATGAATTGAAGCATTTGATGATCCATAAATGGCAAATACATCTTTTTTATTTATTAACAGTTCGGTGTTTCATGACTAATCATGACTTGTGCTATTTCAAGCTTAATCAAAAATCTTTTAGAATATTGTGCCCAACATCCAAAGCAGAATTATATAGTTGCATATGCTGTTGTATTTGATGAGTAGAATACATCTTTTGTTCATCTGCGATGCATTTTGAAACTTAAATAGTTTGGTAATGTTATGTAAAAAGAGTTTTGTTTTAATTCATGATTTTCAAACATATGCACATACTAGTATTATAAAATATATTGATCATATTGTATTCAGCGTGTCATGATCGTGTAGATTTTTCTTTTTGAAGCAAGACACTTCTGTATTTGTCTTAGTGAAGGCTAAGCCACCATAATATTACAAAAGATGACCGTCATGACAGATTCACAGGAGACGGGAATGGTGAAGTTGTCGATCCCTGTTTCATACAGCTGACATTTATATCCATAAAATGTATATAGACTTTATGTACATGTGTTCCTCTTTTGTATAATTAAATCAGAGTTACTTCTTCATAAAGACCTATATAGTTTGTATATATATGTGGTTTTTTTTTTTTTTTTTTTTTTTTTTTTTTTTTTTTTTGTGGTGAAGATTGAAGAAGAAATAATATACTTCTTGGTATGAAGAATTTACCATAATCATAATAATTTTAGAGGCACTTAATGGTATGGACATAACTTTCCGTCTCCAAACGACTCGTACATAGTCGAAATAAAAAAAAAACCTCTCCTGAGCTACCTAACTTAATTACTGATGTTCTATGTGCATTTCTCGATTTACAATTTGGTAAAGAATAAAAACATTTTTGGAATGAAATGCATATTGCTCTAACCGAAGCACAATCTGGTCTATCCAAGTTCTTAATATATTAAGATGAAAATGAGGAAAGCATTATTAGACAGATGGGTAGTCTCTACTCTGAATGACAACGTACATAAAAGTAAAGACGGGATCCATTTGTCATGTCGAAAATTTTAAATTTACCAGGTGACAGTACATACAAAATTTACAACATGGTTGTCTTGTTGAAAATTGTGTCTTTACAGCCACCCTGTAAAATCAAAATTTACAACATGGTACATTGCTGATGAGGAAATTTGGACGATTTTGTACAAACTCTTTTCTGCTTATGACTGAAGTAAATTTTCAAGCATAAAGTACATTCTAGTCTATATAATTTTGCATAAGGTCTCCTTGCTTATGACTAAAGTCATTGAAATTCCCTCAGGTGACATGGTCTTGATGAAAAGAAAAAAATGAACCTTTTTTGCTAGCAAAGATTATCGTGATTTTTACATCTACAAATTCTCAGCCGAAATAAGCAATTATTGCACAAAAAAATATTCGTTATCCTTAAAAACGTCGAAAAACGGGAAAATCAAATTATCAAATATACCAGCACTTAACAAAACCCTGACTATCAAGTAGCATTAGCTTTACGTCTTACATGAGAGTTTGTTAATAAACGTAATAAAACAGAAATCAAAGAAGTTAAAAAGGTAGTTCATCGCCATTCAACATTATGGTACATCAAGGTCTCTAGATCATTAGATTCTCTTAAAATCGTGGTTCACCAATACTAGTAGTTTCTTTGTTTTTATGCTGTAATGAACCGTTGTATAAAAAATATACATAACGTATTAATATGATTTTTTTCCTGCAATAAATATGATTCAACACCGTATAATTAAACAGAGAAAGTCATTTTAATGTGTATACTAAGTTTCAAGTTAAATTGCATGTACTATTATTTATAAGAAGTGGTGAAAGTACGTAAAATATTGCAATGTTGATCCGTAGGTTGCATAAATGAAGAACAATAGAGCAGTTGACCTTTGACACTTCTTTAAATTTTTTTCATACATATGGCTTTAAAAGACCAAATCTAAATAATTAAGAAGTAAATAATAATCATAGTGCTTCAGAAAGATAGCAACTTGTTTTCATGAGAAATAATGGGGGAAAATAGTCAGTGAATGAAAATAATCCCCAGTACTGAATGATAGCTCAGTGTCAACATTAGTGAGAATTTTCTGTGGAGTCATTAAGTAGTATGTTTAAAACATATCTTAAACTTCTGGCACTTCATTGAGAATGTGGCAAAGTTAAAGATCCTATCATTTTAAACACCTTACTCGTTTTGGAAAAGATGGCGATAATATAAAAGGAGTCAATGTGTCATCGCCATCATATACAAAAATTTTATTACAATGATTTGTCTAAAATTATGAACGAATTAAAAAGATTTTTAAAAAAAATTATTTATTTTAAAAAGTTATCATCACCACGCAAATAAATCACCAATAAATGTTAATATGTTTGGCACTTATATACGGAAGCCCGTTGAGGCCAGTTCAGAGAAAGAAATATTTTTTATTGCGTTTCAACGCAATAATTATTGCGCTTAAACGCAAAACATTGCGTTTAATCGCAAGGTATATTGCGTTTAAACGCAAAAGATTGCAATTTAACGCAATCTTTTGCGTTTTAAAGCAATACTTTTGCGATTAAACGCAATACTTTTTGCGTTTAAACGCAATAATTTTTGCGTTTAAACGCAATACTTTTGCGATTAAACGCAATAGTATTGCGATTAAACGCAATAATTTTTGCGATTAAACGCAATAATCTTTGCGTTTAAACGCAGTAATCCTTCCTTATAAGGATTTGTTTTGCATTTAAACACAATGATACTGTAGTTTCAAAATCAACCATGAATTAGCCAAAGCTTATAATTACAGGTACATGTACTAGGATCCGACACTTCAACTTTAAGAAGATCCGGTTTGTTTTGTGTCTTTTTGCAAAATTTTCCAGTTTTTGAAAATTGTAGTAAAACAATGGCATCCAAACAACCTGAATGTCTTAAATGTATTAGAACCCAAAACTCTTAATGAAGTCCCTGATCAATTGCTTACGTATATCACAATTTATATAGAATGTTTCAGTGGTATTAATAGCACTTGTCAATTTGATACATGTAGTACACATCGATCATTATGTTTTCATTTGATTTTGATTTTGATCTCATATAAATCTATCACATATGTTCTTATGTTTACTGTATGCAACCATAGAAAGGGTTATGAAAATACATTTAAGTCTGAATACTTCATCATGTTGTACATAATTCCAACATTTCCTCAGTCCTTTCCAAAAATCCCATTATACATGGGTTAAACTTGTGACCGCAACGTAGGGGACAGTTTTTTCAACAGAGCAACTGACCAAAACTTCATTAAGAATGTAGAGAATAATAAGCTTAAGACATGTCTCATTCTTAGGTTGCCTTTGTTTTTATAACCCGACATTTTTTTTTCTCCTCTATAAATTCCAATTAGTGTTTATCCTTTCTGAGAGCGTTTGCTCGGAGAAATCTGATTCTATAAAGCTAAACAATAAACAATTTCCTCATAAGTAAAAAGAGAAAGAAATAAAAGATATAAGTATGCGTGGGTCTGAAAGGTTTGATACAAATGACTGCCTTTAAACGCAAAGATTATTGCCTTTGAATGCAAAGATTATTGCGTTTAAACGCAAAAATTATTGCGTTTAAACGCAAAAATTATTGCGTTTAATCGCAAAAGTATTACGTTTAATCGCAATATTATTGCGCTTAAACGCAAAAACCATTGCGTTTAATCGCAAAAA